TTGCTGAAATGGAAAAGTATGGAACTTGCCATTGCATATGCAAAGGGGGAAGATGGGGAATCCATGTTAGAGTTGGCTCTCAGACCTTTCTTATATCCTATAAGTCATACCTGTATTTTGGCTGTTCCTTCCAGCAGGAATTCTGAAAACACCAAGAATGTATCCATCCTCTGTTGTAACTTCATATTCCTCGCTGGGGAATCCATGATATCTGATAATTTCACTCTGTGGAAAGCCAAAGGAAATTTTGTTATCATGCATTTACAGTGTAGATATTGGTGTTGGAACTGAGGCTGCTTCTGCCCAGGAATGTGAAACTAGCCAAGAACATGCCAGGAAGATAAGTGTAAGATAAAAGATAGCGTATTTCTAGCCTTTATCTACTTCTCTGTGTTGTGCTGGTAGGGAGGGACACGAAAAGGGAGTCCTGCAGGAAAACAAACCCCTGGTCTCTCTTTTGGTGGATGATCCTATAGCTGCCATGCTGTAGCCATGGAGGCTGGAGGATGCAAACAGCAGCAAGAGGAGTTTGGATGTGTTTCTGTGAAGTGGTTTGTGTATTCTACTTAATGTTGTATCACTCAAATTGTAGTAATTGCTGTAGGTGTGGCACTCAAGCACTGCACTGACTCATAAGAGTAGCAGGATGCAGTGAAGTCTTACTTTACAAGCAGACCTGCTTAGACTGTAGTTGTCTGGTGTTTGATTCCCTATTATGGGACAAAGTGAGTGACTAACCTTTTGGGAGATAGTTTATCTTGTTTTGCAAGGCTCACATGGGTCTGTAATATGATATTCTACTTTGGAATGTGGTCAAACCACTCAAATAATATCCTATTTTGCAAGCTATGGGTGGTGGGCTGAGAAGTGTTCCTGTTGTGTGGTGTTGTTCCTGTCACGTGTTCCTGTTGGTGTTGAATTATGCTAAAACAGGTCTGACACCTCAACCCCAAATTAACATACTGATAATGAGGCAAAGATCTGGAAAAGGTAAATTGCTAAGACAACCTGGAGACATAATATTGGCAGTCGATCACTTTATACTATCAAAGTCCAGTCCACTTTCGTATGGTTAGGTTCTCCTAACATATCCCTTCTTAGAGTGTGTATGAAGATTTCTCCTTTGGGTTGGGACCCCCCTCAAAGTTACTCCTTGAGGCTGTGCAAAAGAGATTTTGCCCATGGTTTTTGGTGTGGGTGAGAGTGAGTTACATCAATCTCTACTTTAATAATTGTTTCTTTTTGCTAGCTTAAAACAATAGTTTTTATATGATTGCTTTGATATAATGCACTGTCCCGTATTATCTTATTCTAATGGTTTTAGCTACTGTTTTGTGTAGTAAAAAAATCTGATTAGGGTATTATTTTCTAATCATTAATTTAAATAAATAGTTTTTTTATATAAATATATCTGGTTTTCCATGGTTAGTCCTGCAAGACAAAGTTGTAGAATGGTTCAATCATACCTTTATAATTCCTTAGGCTTCAGCACTGAGAGTTGGAGGCTAAGACTGGATTCAGCTGCACCCAAGCTCCTCTTTAAGAAGGAGTTTAGAAATCCAGAGGATCCTTTCAGAACATCCTGACTCAGCAGAAGGGCTTCTCTAATGAACTTTTTCAGAAGCTCCCACTCTCCCCCACAGCAAGGCTGTACCTTTCCAGGGAGTAAACATGCAGCAGTATCTCTGCCTGGTGCTCAGTGAACCCTTACTTGCCGAAGTGTGGTTAAGCAAGCCATGGAGGGTGGATGTCCTATTACAGAGTCACTCACAGCACCACCTACTGCACTTCTGCCATGGTGAGGAAATCTTCCATGATTCAGAGCAAGGGGGTTTTCTTGTGGGAATCTGCTGCTTGAAGAAGGGGTACAAGCACCCTTATCACTGCACTTGGCAAACAGGTTATTACAGAAGGACAGGCCATGAGAAGCCAGCCTTCATTTCCACTGCAAAGGAATTCTTCTCTCTAGCTCAGACTGTTTGGATAGGAGCACCAACATTTCCTCTAGGTCCGTGGTGCAGGAGGTGCCCCTCTGAAGGGAACTTTAGCCTCCTGATAGGCACTGTTAGTGGTAGTGGGAGAGAAGCTTTAGAAAAAAGGGAGAGAAGGTGACCCAACTCACAACATTCATGAAGCATTCGGGGTTGCGACTCTTCTTGCAGCGGTTTGTGTCAGCACCTGCAGTGGGGGCTGCCGTGAATCCTGCTGAAAAGGCAATTCCTTGGGAGCAGAGCAGCACGAGGAGGCACCACATCTTGGGACTGTGTGGAAGAGCACATGCAGGGGTGTTTGTGTTAGGAAGAGAGTGGAATTCCCAGGAAGACCCAAGAAGAGAGTGTCCTGAAGGTTGCCCAAGAGTTGTTCCCCAAGGGCTGCCAGAATAAGTACCTGTGTAAAGGAGGGATTATGTACAGCTTTTCCTGTTTAATATGGGCCATGAACGAGTCAAAGGCTCCAGGATGAGAAGGAACCATCCTGGGGACCTGTGTTTACATGATATCAATGCTAATTTGTAATGAGTACCTTTCTTTCTCTTTATATATGTCTCTTCTATTGTAAATCTGTCTTTCTTGGAGAAAAGGCTGAATCTTCCTGGATTTTAGGCATTGTCTGGTGGTCACAGCAAAGCTGGTTTGAACAGAAATCGTAGTGCTCTCTGTGTAGTTAATGCCCTGCTTTTTGGCTGTAGCCATCTTTGTGATTAGCATGGATGAGACAGGTGATAAACCCAGAGGGTTTTATCTGAAACACCTTGGGAAAGATCATTAAGATTTGGAGAGTGTAGAAAGGATAGGTAAATATTTATTTATTTCCTCTGAATTTCTTCCGGATGGAGAGAGTGAGTTATCAATTATTTTCATTTTTTATTAAATCTGTTATTTCCCTTGAGTCACTACAACATTTGGATTAAGCCACAACTGGAATATTATAGATAGATAGATAGACAGCTATAATATAAAAGACATATATTATTATTTATATATATAGTATAATATTATACTTTTAATATTGAAATCCAAACTCACTGTAGTCTTACCACTTTGTAAAAGAACACTCTGATTCATCTGTCATTACAACAGAAATCCTCCTACCTGTGTGCTCTGAAAGCAGTTTTAGAGTAAATATTCCACTTCTTTCTGCTATTTTATTTATTTCAAACAAAAGTAAAAATCACATTCCTCTTTTTCTTCATGTGGAACATTCTTTGGGAAAAAAACGGAAATGTTCAGCATAAGTCACAGTTTGTACTAAAGATGAAGCTATGGGGTAGCTAAATTATTATCTTTTTTATGTACAATTTTCTATATACTGTACTGAACATGAAAGCTTTGTAAATCAGACATAATATGCCAATTAACTCCAAGGCTTGGCACACAACTGTCTCATTAATTTCAATGGCCAAGTCACGACTGTAGGAGCCTTGAACAATAATTAGTCTTTTTATGCAATGAAACAATGCCTAAGAGTGACATTTATAATGGCAAACTGGAAATAGCTGAAATATTTTAAAAAGAGAAAAAGGTAGAGGAAGGTACCTGAAGGATACATTCAAAAATGGCATTTCTGGAGGTTTCTGAGATTAATGGAAACAAACCTTGATGAAATGAAAACAAACCTTGTATTCTTGAGTCATAATGGCTTTCACATACACTATAAATGGGACAGGCTAGCAGGTGTCAGAATCTCTGGGTAAACTTACAGGGAAAACTCAAATGCTTTTGGAACTATAAGAACAAGATTAATTTAATTTATATACATGCTTTCAGCACTGAGATTTCCATGCATCCACAGTGACATCTCTAGGGGAAGAAAACCAAGGAGAGCAAAATGAAACCATCAGTTACTCCTTTTTCCCATTTGCATGGGTCAAAGGCTTTTTTTCTCTGCCTCTGGCAACCCTGCCCTTGGTGCACAGCAGTCAGAAAGGACAGCAGGCTGGCTGCTCTGAGAACCAGCTGCACAGAACCAGGACAGCACATCTGTATGGAGACAGGCAAGGGAGGAAGAGACCATGGATGCATTTGAGCAAACAGCTTACCTCTGCTGTGACTCCCTTGCTTGCGCCTCCTGCTGCAGCTCCTGCTCTGTCTCCTGCTGATTCGCTGCCAGAAGCTTGTGCCAATAAAGGGAGCAGCAGCTGAGTTCTGTGTGAGATCTGCATGTATAGGAGAGCATGTTAAAGTGCTGCTTGTTTGGCAGTATTTAAGGAGTGGGGTTATTCTATGATAAATAGCACCATTGCATGATATTCTGAAAGACCAAATTGCACCATGGACCTGGTGAGGTAAAGAGGAATCTAACCTGTCATTAGAGCACTTAATTAGAGCTGGTTTATTGTTCCCTGAGGCTGTGACAGATCTTCATCTGCACTGCTACCTGTCTTAGTAAGTGCTGTAACTACCATATTTGGGGATAAAAAGGAAGAATTCAGTTTTTCTCAAAGCTTTCTAGTTGTGAACGTGATCTCTGCTGCTGTGGGTAGTACAAAGTGTTTTGGTCACTGGTTCCACACCAATTGCTTGTTTTCTGGATTGCTGTTTACTTGGGGACAAACCTTCATTGTTAGATAATCTTAGAATAAAAACAAAAGTGATTTGAACGGTGTGAACACCACTGCATACAAAAAAATGTTTGTTCTGAGTTACTCTGCTTCTGTAGGGATTCTCAGGAACAGAATTAAGTTTGAAAACATTGTTTAAACTTGGAGTCAAGAGAGGGTGCTAACACTAATTCTTATTATTGCCAAGCCATCTCCATGAACTCTCTGAACACAATAAATTGGAGACCCCTGCCTAACTACTGAATTAATTGTAGCCAGCCTTGAGGGGCTTGATTCTCACTGAAACTGGCCTCATTTCTTGATGCAGCAAATTCTTTGACACGTGGGTGCTAATGATATGCTGCCTTGCCTGGGAAAATTAATGAAGTACTTGTTAGTAAACAGAACCTGGGAGTCACCACAGAAACAATCCTGATTTATGGAGAAGGACACAGTCTGTGGAAAAGCCGAAAAGGTGATTTCTCAATGAAAAGCATCACAGCTCAGATGATGCCCCTGCTTAGTGAGAAATAATGAAGACTTTTCTCTGCTCTCTTCTTAGCTTACACCATCCTACATTTCTTTGTTTTGCAGGACTGCTGGCTGGGAATTACCTGCAACACTTTACCTATATCACCTTGTCGTGGCACATGGGATTTAGGATATATTTTCTGATATCATTGATGGAAACCAAGTGAAGAGCAAAAGGTATGTTAGCCCATCGGAAAATGGAAAAGAGAGTGAAAGTAATACATAGAAAAAGAGAATAGAAAGCACAAAACCTAGAAACAGAAACTTCCCAGGATGGGCTGTCCTTACTGAGAGAACCAGGACAGCTGAGATAGTAAGCATGCTGTTTTAAAATGCCGTGGCAAGACTGAAGCCCAGGTGGTCTGGCCTGGAGCTGGACATAGCATGAACTCAGTTTAGTGCTATAAAACACAGGCTCTGCTCCATGCCATGGAGGGGTTTCTTTGTGCTTGTTGGGTTAATCCTGTGCTGCAGCAGAGGTGCAAGGAACCCTTGTGTTGCTACAAGGATGATGTACAAGTAGTTAACAGTCTTCTGAGGGAAAGTGTAAGGTGCTAGTGTCCCTCTTGCCCAGACACTGGCCACTCCAGGACTGCATTTCTTGGAAATGTGAGTTTCAGAGGACTGTTCTGCACACATGACTCCAACAAGCCACAGATTGCTCTCCTGACAGTAGTTTAACTCATGTGATTTGTAGCAATACAGACTCCAGTGCTTGGAATTTAAAGAGACAAGTGATCTTCTGTGACTTTTATTGAATATACTGTTCTTAAGCTATTGGTATCTAGCTAAAAAATTAGTTTACCTTATAATTTCCCTGGTGAAGGCCCTTCTGAAAAACATTTAGTTCCCTTCTGGCTCACATGAAACATTTGAAATGTTGTCAAATTTTGTCAGGACGTAAGAATCATGTTTCCTACACAGACTGGGTAGGTGACAGCTTGTCTATGCACTGAGTCTTGGCACCTTTTGGAGAAAAAAACCCTTATTCATAAAAAGAATTAAAATTTTTCAGGACTCTAGTCTTCATTTACAAGCATGGCAAAGAGCACTGAAGCAATAGGTTAAGCAGAAGTGAACCTGTGACTATATACATTTGCATGAGTCTCATACTTCATCATGGTTGGGCTGCTTAATTGTTCTTCAGTTGAAACTCTAACCAGAGTAATCACTTCAGTGCTCTTCAAGAGGACCTGGGATGTGATGCTGGATTAAATGGTAATTTACACTGTCAGGAAAATTGTTGCCTGAAGCTCTTCCTCTGTTTTGGAGAGGATGGGGTTTTTTTCTTGTTTTCTTTCTTGTTTTCTTGTTTTTTGTTTTCTTGTTTTCTTTCTTTCTTTCTTTCTTGTTTTCTTGTTTTCTTGTTTTCTTGTTTTTTGTTTTCTTTCTTTCTTTCTTTCTTTCTTTCTTTCTTTCTTTCTTTCTTTCTTTCTTTCTTTCTTTCTTTCTTTCTTTCTTTCTTTCTTTCTTTCTTTCTTTCTTTCTTTCTTTCTTTCTTTCTTTCTTTCTTTCTTTCTTTCTTTCCTTCTTTCTTTCCTTCTTTCTTTCTTTCTTTCTTTCCTTCTTTCTTTCTTTCTTTCTTTCTTTCTTTCTTTCTTTCTTTCTTTCTTTCTTTCTTTCTTTCTTTCTTTCTTTCCTCTATTGGTTTGTTTGTTGTTTTTCTTTAATACTTTTTCAGATTACCATACATTTATTTATTTTTGTTAGGAAAGGATTAATTAAACTATTAAGTTGTTTTATGTAGCATCTTAATGATTCAATATTCCTTTCAACAAGTTGTAGCTTATAAATTCCAACAAGCTGGTCAGTAGATGCTGGAGGAAGTGAATATTTTAGGATCCTGGTGTGAAGAAATATTGGTGAGGAAGACCTTTTCACCTTTGAGATGTTACTCACTGTTTCATGTGCTTAGTCCAACAGCACATTCACCACATGCTGAAAGACAGAAAGATAACTCTGTTGTGAGGATCCCAGTGAGTGTCACAGGTAGGTGTTTTGTCTCTCTCTGTTACATGCCAGCCTAGTTTTCTTCAGATTAACTGCCACTGAAAGGGTGAGAACTGGTGCCAGAAACTAACACTACAGCCAGTGATATTGTACTACTTTAATTAGAGAAGCTGGAGATAGAATAAGTAATTTTATATGGTCCTTCACCTCGCTGAGAATAAATACAGAAATTATTTGGAAACAGAAATTCTCAAATGTAAGGCAGAGGGCTTGGATTTAAGATGCATGCTTACATGTTTATGTTTTAAGACTTTTTTAAAAATTTACCTGAAATATGTGAAACGTGATTTAAACTATAAAGGGAAAAGATATTTTTGAGGTGCATGCAGGCATTTGAAATACGCTTGCCTTGCTCGGAAAGACTGAGTGTAGTAGAGAATGCATCAGCATCTTATCTTCAGGGCTACCAGCAATAGTTCTCTTCCCAATTAGCATATAAACTATCAGGTTAGACATGAATCATGTTCATTGGTTGGGCTGGGCTAGAAAGAGAAGACTGAGCAAAAGTAATGGAAATGGCTGGCCTGTTTAATTAAAGACTAAGAGGCTAATTATACTGGGAGCTTTCATTTAATGCATGGGATTGAGTTGCTTCCTTTTTCCTGACATTTGAGGTGTTCTTGCAGAAGGTTTGGAATGTGTTTTAGTTAACAGTAGCTTGGGTGGCAAAGTAGTTACAATTGTTCATGATTTTAAGTTTTAGATTTCATTCTCTTTATTCTTTTCACTCCTCCATTTCTTTATTTGTGAAACTTTCTTCCCTTCTCTTTCCCTCAAGGTCTCTTGACCTGTTTTGCTGCTTTCCTTTTTAGGTAACTGAAGGATGTTATTGCAGAAATGACAAAGGAAAATGCTTCTGTGTTGTAACTTGTTCCGTCAGGCTCCCATAAGCTGCTGTTCTCACGTTTACCTCCCTGGGCTGGGTTTCTGAAGACAATTGTTTTATGCTACTGAGTAGAAAGCACTGAGAGGAAAGGCAGCTTAAGAAAAAGTGGTACTTTTAAGTTAACTATTAACCAGATTCAAACAAGCTCCAGCACATGTCAAGTGAGGGTAACTAGTTGGGCTGGTGAACAAGGAGGAACTCCAGAGTGAAGAATAGGCATGGGGATACTCTATTCAGAGGTAGGTAACCATTTTCTGCAGTTGCTACTGAGGGTATGGATATTCACTGGGCTTGGTTTGTTCCCTTCACAGCCTCCCATACACAGGCTTGTAGAGAGATCTGGAAGTTTTTTCCCCTTTGTAAATGTTTTCCTTTGTCTATTACAAGCTGCCAGTATTGTTAATAGAAGCAAAGAAAACGCAATAACCAGTATAATTACTGTGGCTTCACAAAATATGTGTTCAACATTTTCTGTCGTTCTGTGTTGAGATCAGAATGATTCTGTACACGGTGCAAGCAATGAACAACTTTGCAAAAAGCAGACAGCTCCTTGGCTTACACTGAATACAGATAATAAAGTTAATGCCTAAGAAAACCTCCTGCTCCCCCCGCCCATATTGTTTTAGGAAGGTAATTTTTTTTTATCTTAATGGGTTTTTCTTCAAACTATGGTTCATTTAACATTTTCCTGTACTTTAGCATAAATTCTACCTAAAAATATTCTGTTATAAATTTCCCATTTGTACATGTGGGAACAAATGAGGATTTTGGCCCTTTGTGACTGTGAAAAGAGTGTGTTGCACTGTGTTTCTTTTTCTGGAGATAGCATTACATAGCTGTTGTTTTTAAAGGTTACATTTCTGTGCTGAAAGCCAGCCTTTTATTTTTAAAAAGCTATTCAATGAAATCAAGTATCTTCTCCTCTTTCAGTATTGCAAGGAGCTTGAATCTGTGCATTCATGAGGTGACTGGCAGAACAGACTGTAGCTTTTTCTGAAAGGATTTCTTGCCTCTCTCCAGACCTACTACCCTGGGATAGTGTTGCAGTGTCTAGCTTAATTTCACAGGTGTTCAAATGCTGTCCATGTTTTCCATGCTTATTAATTAATCTTTTCATATACATTCATTTCCTCTCTTTAAACATTTTGAGATCCAGTTTTGCTGGTAAATTATGCTTCATTTATACAGGGTAGAAAGCTAGGAAACTAAAGATAAAGAATTGTAAGTTGCCTTTTCTGAGAAGTATGTATCTGCTATTGGTGTATTCCTCAGCATCCTAAACATAATTTAGACTTTCCTGTTAAGTTCATAGCATGCTTTTGGAATAATTTTAATGCAAAGGAAGAGGCTATGGATTGGTTCAGAATATTTTGATATTACAAAGTGTCTTCCTTTTTTGTAAATGATTGCAAAAGAGCTGATGTAATTTAGGCAATCCCCTGGAGTTCTAAAGGAGGAAGCAATTATAAACTGAAATTGCTCTCCAAGTTGCAAGACAGGCTTTACCTTCATCTCCTCTCTTTTATGTGAATGCTTTGTCCTTCATACTGTGCCTTTACTTCAGGTGTGGTAGAACTTGCTAAATAGCTGGAGGTTTATCACTAGCCCAGCAAAGCTAAGCAGAGACTGATGCAAGAAATTCTGAAAACATCAGACAGCTTCAGATGTGGTGGCTCATCTGGATCTGAGTAAAGTACTAGGAGCTGACATCAATCATGTTCCACAATTGATTAAAAAATAAAAATAAAAAATAGGTTATATAATTGTCCTTCCTCACAGTGAAAGTGTTATTGCTTTTCTTGCACCCCTTATTTGGTTGAGAGCACTGAGTGCTCTCAACCATGAAAAACTTTGCATGTCCTGTGAGTACTTCTCACTTTTCCTGAGACCCTATATACTGAACAATTAAATCCTGGTCTGAAAGGCTTACAGAAGAAGGAGTATTGTAGAAAGAGAGATTTTAAACACTCAGTCATTGGCATATCTAATCTTCAAACTCTACTTTCCATTCTCCAGTGTCTGCCCACTGCATTTTATTCAGCTGGGCAGGCTGTGCTCTAGTTCATTATTAGCCCTGATGCTATGGCTGAGAAAAGGCACCTCTGGTGAGTGTGGAAGGAGTTTAGTTCTGTGGTTCTCTTTTCTTCCCTCCCTTCCACTGTAGGATTTGTGCAAAGTCACACTGTCAGGTTCATCCTGTGCACCTTGTCTGAGTGCTGGCTGGTGCTGCAGGAGTGTGAATGAGAGCAGAAGTGAAGGGCTTTGCTGCCAGACACTTGAGAGAGGCCTTCTCTTCCTCTTTACCTTTACCTGCTCCCCTCCCCTCAGACCTGAGCCCGTGTCTGTGTTGGGTGCAGTGTTGTTGTGCCTGTGCTGGGTCTGCCCTGCTGCTTTATGGAGTTGGGCCAGGTCTGCTGTGAGTTTTCTGGGGCAGTCAGGACAGTGGGATTGATAAATGATGTGGCGTGGGCAAGAGTAGCTGTGGCAGTAGAGATGGACAAAGACATTCTTCTTTCTTTCTTTGTTTCTTCTTACACCATAACCAATCTTTATTCTTCACAGCTTGTATTTACGTAGTTATCAGAAGGCATCGTATTTAATTCTAATTGGTTAGCAACCTATTGTAACTCAGTTCATTGGCTAGAATTTGCTAGTGTATGTGTAAGTCAAAAACTTTCTTTCTAGGTATGTTTACGTTCTTGTCTCCTGGGAAGTGGATGTTTCACATGGGTAGAACCTTTCTCCTCACAGGTGCAATCAGTTCCCACAGGAACAGACTGATATGCAAGCTGATTCTCATTGTTGTAATTATTTTCTCATGGGAACTTATCAGGCTAGCTGTTAGTTACACTTAGTAACAAGGCTTGTTGAAGTAACAAGGCCTGAAACAATTTTACAAGGCCTTTGTTTTGTACGGTTTTACCTATATGTGACAAGTAGCCACTCTGTGTCTTGGACTGCAAATCCCTCCTCCAGAAGCTGAGAACTGGGCTCCCACTGGTGCTCGCTTTAGAGTTTGTTGTTGTGGGAGCACTTTTCTTCTCACACATCCCTAAAGGAGACCCCATAGACCTGTCTGTCCTCAAGTTGTCAGTGCAGCTCTGGGAGCAAGAGGGATCTCCTGGCTGTCCTCCACTTCCATCACACCTCTGCTTCATAGTCCTGCTCCTCACCACAGCTGAGCATGAGCCCAAGATATCAACTTTGGATGCTTTGGGTATGGCTTGCATCTTGCATGTGAAACTCAGGTATTCTGAGCACTATCCCATTGGTTTATTTCTCTCCTGGGTATGATGGGTGGATAACAATAACACAGCAATAGTAATAACCATAACACAAATATGAACCTGATTGTTAAGCTGTGTCACTACTGAGGCAATCTTCTAACACTGTAGGAAACTGAGTTAGATTTTTCAGTCTCTTATCCTCCAGGTTTTTCTATAGACTTAAAGGAAATATGTTTTCTTGGGTTTTAGGTGGAACCTGCTGTTTGTACCTAGGACTGTTCTAAATCCATACTTGGCCTCCCTGCTGATACTTCAGATAGATGTTGTCTGTTTGTAAGAAATTCTATTATTGTCTTATGAGCAAACTTCGGAGAATAGTTTAAAACAGTCTTAAGCACAGTTAGTCCTCCTTTAGATAGGGTTTCCAGAGTGACAATCCAAAACAAGTGAGAGGCGGGAAAGAGATTTGTAGCTGAGGCTTCACAACCACAGAAATCCTGGCACATGCTCAAGCCCCAGCCTGGGGCCAGGCAGGTTTCGTGTCCAATCTGTTGCCACTGGAAGCCTGTTTTGTTACTTTGCTCTGCTTATGAATATAAATCTCTTTCTAATTTTTATGCTAAATTTCTTGGTCAGATGGATCAACTTTTTTTAGCAAGTTCCCTGAAATGAATTGCTCTTCTTTAACACTGACCCTTTAATTTATTTTGGAACGCCGACAGCTCTGTGTCTCCCTACCCCAGCTAAGCAAATCAACCTTTCTTCAGGCTCTCCATATTCCTCAGTTGTAGAGATGTTTCATGCTCCTGCCATGGTCTGATCTCACTTTAGGACCCAAATGACAAGAACCCTATACACTATCTCAGTGAAGTGTCTTCTATAACATCTCTTTCTGTGGGAGACACTGTCTAATATAACATTTGCCTTTCTTGGACAAGTGACCAAGTGCTACCTATTTGTAATTGTTCTCATCTTTATACTTTCCTAACACAATTTTTTCTGAATCCTTATTGTTATTGATATGAATATCATGAACTTACAATTGTTGGTACTGCTTTGTTCCTTTACCTAAATATTCTGCTACTATGTTTGCTCTTCCAGGCATGGAGTCATGTTTGCCAATTTGGGAGGCATGTTACAAGTTTGGGCTGGGTGGCTTTTCACTTTTCTTTGACTAAAAGGTTTTTTCAAGGATACAAACCAGTGGAGTGGGCCTCAAAAAAAAATCCCATATAAATGGGAAAAAAGTTTGTGTTATTTTGTTGTTTTTTTTCTTTAAACATGAATGGAACACGTTCATGCAGACAGTATAATTTCTGTAAAGAATCCCCGTTCCAGGGGAATAATAATGATTCAAAAATAAATAAAATTAAATACATCAGTTACCAGGTATTAGTTGTTGGAATGAATGAGAACTTCCTCACATTCTCTGTGCCCTGGATGTTTTCTGAGAACAGCTGGTTTCAGAAGGTGAAAGAGCACATGTGCCTTGTGTGTGCTGGTCTCTGTGCATGACTTCAGCCCCAAATAATGTGGTCTCTTGGGGAGTGGTCTGTGTACCATCATTGTTCATGGCTCTAGAACTGAGTTCAGCAGTAGTAAGGTTTAGAAAAAAGATCCCACGATCAACAAGAGCATCAGTCAGAAATGCCTTGGGGTTAAACGCCTAGCAAGTAAAAGTCTTGGAGGCAGTACAGGAAGAAAAGCAAAAGGGCACAACCTGGAGCAGCTGAATGAGCAAAACCAGCCTAGAAAGGAGTAAATTTATATGGTGGCTGGGATTTGAGCAGATGTTCAACCAAAGAGCAAATCTGCTGCATCTTTAAATAAGCAAAGCAGCACCAGAGAACAAGAGTAGTAGGGAAATAGGAGGTGCAGACAGACTCCACAGGATCTTCTCTTTCCGAGACATGAAGATACAGTACTTGACACCAACATGACAGACAGCAAATTTCTAGAGAAAACTGATCTTTTAGGTGGCACTGGTGTGCAAATCACACCGAAAGGGGCTTAAAAGAGGCTTTTCTCCTCAAAATCATTAAAACAGTCTGGTGAAATGCAAAATACCGAATGGTATATGTAGGCCTCTGTAGAAATACAGACAGGTGTGCAAATTTAAAATATGGCCTGTGTTCTTTGTAGATTTTTGTCTGACATAATAAAAACAAAACAAGAAGTGGTGCAAGGTCTGGTAAGTATGTAAATTCTTTATTTGGAAACAAATTACTTCTCTTACGCAGCTGTCCGTAAAACTAAGCAGCAATTATTCTGGAGATAAACATGTTGTAGATCAAAGGTTGGCTGAAAAATGTAAATAAGATTAATAATTTTAGGCAGGAAGGCAGGTGGGTAGAGGGGAGGACAGAAGGGAGTGAACTAGCTGGAGGAGTGAGGAAAGAGCTCAGAGTTTAGGACTACATCTTTTTCATTTAGAGTATTTAAGATGTGAAAAAAAAAGGAGAATGGAAAAGAATAAACTACAGCTAATATTTAAAGAAAATTTCTGTTTTGGAAAATGTTGAGTAAAATTCCCAGTATCAAAGAAAAGAAAGACTTACTCTGCTTTTGACTGGAGTACTCAAATGCTACCTCTCTGCCCCGCCTCTTAAATATTAGTTTCTGCCTTTATTAGGCTGTTAGAAACTTGCAGATCTCCTGCCCTTCTCGGTTTCTCTTAGTCTGAATTCTTGCCACTGGAGAGGGAAGGAATTTTAGCTCAAGGATGTGCAGAAATACTGAATGAAAAGCTGACCAGCAAGCAGCTCTCAAAAGCCAAGCAGGATCTGACCTGTGGGCACACTGACAGGTATTTTTTTATTTATTTCAAGGTCTAGAAAAGAAAAATTGGTGGGGGTTTGGTTTTTCACCTTTCACCTGAAGTGCAGTTCTCTTCTGGGAACAGATGAGTCAGGAGTGGTTCCTTCTGTTCAGCAGTGCTCAGCCAGAGGGAAAGCCTGATGTAAACCCAGGCATGTGGGCTTGTCCCTGCTTGCTGCTTAATACAGTGACCAACTCCTGTGAGAATGGAAGCCAGTTTTGTTGGTTTGGTGTGGGTTTTTTTGACCCTAATGGCTGCAAATAAATAGGATTTATTTCCTGGATTATAGAAATAGCGTCCAAAATTAACAGAAAATCCATTCCACTGTGCAAAGGCTGTGACTTTGGGGCTGAGAGCCGTGTAGCAGCTGCAGGAGTGTCTCCTACCACCATCTTCTGGAAGGCACCAAGAACTACAGCCTCTGCCAAGTATTTCAGGGTGTGTGAGTAGTAAGCCAGAATGGGAAGTATGGATGTCTTAGTGAAACACGTGCTGATGAATATTATCTTCTCACTTCAGCCCATCTGTCAGGCAGCTTATAACAACGATTTCAATAAAGTTCATCTGCTTTTGGAGCACAACAGCAACTATCTGAATGTCCAGGACAGCTTCGGTGGAGACACCCCCTTAATTTGTGCATGCAGACAAGGAAACAACAGGATAGTTAACTATCTTCTTAGAAAACATGCTGATGTCAACCTCAGAAATAAGGTAAGTGGCCACTGACTCTCCCTTTGTGGGACTGTTCTTTCAGATTCTTGGAGTGCCAGTGGGGACACTGGCAAACACAGACAAACCTTAAGTTTGCTTCTTACTGAGGATATGTGCAGAAATAGGTAGAGCAAAAAGACTTCTCTGCTTATTTTGGTGCCCTGTGTCGAAGTCCATTTTGCCCATTTGTAGCAAGTTTAACACTGTAGCACAAAACTTTACAGATATGCCCTTTAGTTGCTTTGGTATATTCAGTATTCAAAGAATTTTTTTAAGCTCTGTTCTCAGCAGGAGCCTGTGGTGGTTATTGTTACTTTCCTGTTTTCCTCTGGTGTCCCAAAAGAGACGTTTCACATGTCCTTGCTTCAGTAGCCAGCACCTCCATAAGGAGGGGGGCTGTGGTGATTCCTCCTGCTGATTTGCCTTGCTGTGTGGCACCAGTAGCCACACGAAATGCCTGCTCTCTTCTTCAAATTTCTGCAGCCAGGTCCAAGTTTTCCAGCATACACATGGAATCCTTTGGATCCCACATCCTCCTTGCAGGTGTAGTCCCATTTTCATGACCCTCTATGTGTTAAATGTGTTTCTGCTTGAAGGAAGCAAGATGCATGTGTCTATTTATGTTTGAAAATCACAGGGGATTTTCTATTAGTCTAAAAGAAAGCTTGTGGAATTTAAAATGGTCTGCTCTTTCAGTATTAAACAAGGTGAGATCACTGAATCTGGTACTAACCGGAGTTACTTTGTGTTTAGAAGGACCGCACTTGCCTCCATTATGCTGTGAGAAAACGGTTCACCTTCCTGGACTATGTGCTCATCATAATCCTCATGCCAGTTATGCTTATTGGATACCTTCTCATGGTGAGTCTGGATGGAAGCAAGAATGACCCTGGATCTTTCCCTTGAACACATTCTTCACGGCAGTGTTTCAGGCCAGGAACCTCTGTAGAATGTGGACTGCTTCCTTAAAGCAAGACTGAATGTCTTGCTTCTGAAAGCAGAAGGAGCAGGAATTTTGCTGTGACTGTAGCTGGTGAAGGAGAAGATTTGTATTACTGTATCACTCTGACATTTCCATGCCTATTTTTGGGGAAAAACCCCACAGTATATTATATATATTAAGTATATTTAGCACAAATATACTTCAGACTATATGCAGATGAACTGTTTTACTGTGTTACTCCTTTCCTTGCTCTAAACAGGTCTCAAAGACAAAACAGAATGAACACCTGGTCAAGATGTTGCTTAGAGCTGGAGTCGATGTGAATGCTACAGACTCTGTAAGTGGTTTTATACAAATGCAAACGTGGCTCACATGCAGGAAACAATACTAAAAACAGACTACAGAATCTTCTAGCAGCATTGTTGGAGTAGGAGCATCAGGGACTGAACGTAACAGACGGATTCAATGTTTCTCCTTGACACTTAGGCAATAGATTATAGTGTATGCAGAAATAGTTCCCCACTGATCAACTAATCCACCCTTTCTGAACAATGCCTGCAATAAGAGAATCCAGCAAGCTGGGCTGATGTACTTATGTATTAAATACCCAATTCTGTAAAGATTCTAGTGATATAAGCATCTGAGTTTATCAGCATTACAAGATTTTGAACTGGAACAGATTTGTGGGCTACAGGACAAGACCCCGTGTCTTCTCTTGGTCTTCAGAGTGTGCTATCTGCCATAATACAGAGTTATCGATCCACTAGCCCACTTGGGTGAGGTAAAGAGCTCCTCTCCTCTAAGGCAGAAAAGGAGAAACACCAATTTAATCAGCAACAAAATTCTAGAACACTGAAGTGCGAGCAAACAGTATCATTTAAGATGTAGTTTCTGAGATCAAGCTGGTGTGATCCTCTGAAATGATTGGCTTCCTGCTAATGTATCAAACCTGCTTTAGAAGTTGTGTTCCAGGGAAGGAATTAATTTTTTTGTTCCTGTTTTTCTCATGGTAACATTATTTGTTTTACTGTGGGATATATTGTGACAGGAAATGGTATGTGTTTTGCATAGGTAGTCCTGCTTACCTAAGGCCTACTAAAGAAGTTTCAGAAATAAAATTAATCTGCTTATGTTCTCCTTCAGTCTGGCAGCACAGCCCTTCACTATGCTTGTGAAATGAAAAACCAGGCAGTCATTCCTCTACTGCTTGAGGCTCATGCAGACACTTCTGTAAAGAATCAGGTAAGAAGGCGAGGTTGATAAATGTATTTACTAATCATGGTGGTCGACCAGTAAGTTCATTGTAGGCCTTAGCTGGTGCAGAGCAGTTTTAAGAAAAGGGTGCACAGCTTCCTGGCAGCCAATTTGTTTCCTATTTGATATGGAACATTTGCTCCATTGCCTTTATTGACAAGACCAACTTTAAAGTATGAATCCTTCACTGCTGGATTTCTACCAGTAAAAGCTGCCTGCATGTCCCCTGGCTTAGCACATCTCTTAGCTATATTTAGGTTGCCTCTTAGCTCAAAGCTACTCTGTGGTTGCTCCTAAGATGAGGGCTGCAGGGCAGGCATCAAAGTCTTCCTGGGTGGTTTTTGTGCTGCTGAGGACCCTTCTCCTGAAAGGCTAAGTCAAGCTGCTTCTGTCACCAGAGCTGCTCAAGTGTTGCCCAAATCAATACTGACCTGGGAATATCTGCACTACTGAGTTAAGGTGAGAAGTGTATTACCTATATTGCTCTTGAAACCAAATCTTAGCTGAGTTCTGTACATTTGGATGTTACTCCCAGGAAACAGTGGAAAGGCTTTCCCTATTGCAGGGGGAGTCTGTGTTCCTTTCTTCAGCCAGAGCAGTATTAGGCCCAGCATGTCCTGAAAACTTTATTTTGGGGCAGAAGTGACAGGGCACCTTACACAGGTGACAAAGTTGGGAAATCTCTTTGTACTTGACCCATATCTGTCATATTGCAATGTATTTCATGTGTTTCTTTCAGGATGGGGAAACTCCCTTGGATATAGCAAGAAGATTACAGTTCCACAACATTGAAAGCATGATAAGAAAAAATTCTTAGCCATCAAGGACTCTCAAACATGAAGAAAATTACCTCATCTGACAATCCACCTTTCACAACAGCAGAAGTCCTGCAAAGGATGAGGGCTGATACTTGATAAAGACCCAGTCCATATCCACCCATTCCCTGCTGCAGACTTGGACAATTTTCTGTGAGATTTGTCAGTACCCCAAGGCCATGACTGGGCTGAAAGAAGTTAATTTTATTTTGTAAGCCATGAATTACTACAAGAGTGTCCAAAATATTGTCCTTCCCATCTGTTTCATCAATTTTATTACTTGACTTCTGCAGACTGTGGATTTTGAAAGCTAGCTATAAAATATCTAGAAGCCTAAACATTGCATATGATGGTTGGCAGCCAATGCAAAAATAAAATATCCTTTAGAGTGTGTGTTACTTGTTCCATAGGGGAACTAAACAATATGCTACAGCGGTTATAAAAAGGCTGGTACCCTTCTTCTTAGTATTTCTCTTCCTACAATGGGAGGGGCTGGGAAAATAGATCTCTCAGTTGAGCCCCTCCTCTTTCCATCCTACAAGGGTAGAACTATATTTTGGGTTTTTTTTTGGTTTTTTTTGGTTTTTTTGTTTGTTTGTTTGTTTTGTTTTGTTTCCCATCTAGAAACAGCAAAAAGAGATTCAATGCCTTGCTGGAGACCATAAAGTAAGTCAATTTCCAGACCACTTTAATGCATTAAAAAATAGTAAAGAAAATGTGTTTGGCTCAGTAGAGAAACAGGTCTCTTGACTACTTTTCCAATATAAACAGTGTACTAAAGGAAAAAAAGAGTCAATAAATGAAATGCTGTTGATGGAAACCAGATGTATCATTCCCCTGGGACTAGACAGGATAGCATGCTGTACAGAGTGGTGCATGCAGCAGGGGATAATACCAATCATAATAATAATATATCCATGAGTCTACTCTTGCATAGGTGAAGGCAGAAGAAAACCTGCAGTGATAAGCAATGTATGAAAGTGGCCCAGTGCTTTGTGATTCAATAATGCAGCAGTAAAAGGGAAGCTCCTTTTATACACTGCTGTGTTGTGCCTCCTTGGCCTATTGGATCTTTATTTCTGTTGATAATTTTGGCCTTTTCCTGTAAGCTGTCAAAAGCTAATGCAAATGCAGTGCAGCATTGCTAATGGATGCCACAGTAGGTGCATGGACAAGCTAGTGCACTTTTCCTGTGTTGCAAAGACAGGTATATTTTTCAGTGTAACTGTTGCATTGGATGTCAACTCCAACTACAAAGGGTCTTGGCTGGACAAGATGAACTTGAAGCTGCAGCCAGGAAGACCCCATGAAACAAAGCTCCTTGCTGGAGTCTTTAATAATGAGCATTTTGTGTGCAATCTGGGGACAGACTCCAGATCAGCTTGTAGGTGAGAAGAGGGGAGGCACTTGCTGTGGATTATGGGGACAACATCTCTTATGGCAAAGGGCTGGAAAGGGAAAACATCCAACTGCTTTCCCATGTTTTAGGAACTGCTTGAATGAAGAATGGCTCAGACACAGAGCTGTGTAAAAGTGAATGCTGACAGCTCAGAGTGCTTGCAACAGCTTCATTGCCAGTGTGAAGGATAATTCATAGGGTGGAAGCTGTATTGCCTGTGGTGCACCTTCCTGGATGGGTCTGCATCTCCTTATTCCACAGCTGCCATCTGTGGTCTTTGAAACTGTGAGGGGTTCAGGGTGTGTGAACAAACATTTGGGTGATTTTTAGGCATGGAGGACAAAGGAATACTTCTCTGATTTTTTTTTGAGGTTGGATTCCTTGATGATTTGTAGTCATCTATTATCTGCTCAGTTTCTTGTGTTTGAAGATCTCTTGGTTCTGTTGACATTAAAGGGTTATTTGAAGAGGGAAAATAGAAGACTGCTTCTCTGTCAAGGGTTGCAATAATTTAATTTAAACAAAATTGTTCATTTCAACAGAGAAATGATCAAATCACAATTTTGGATCTCCATAGGAAGACAAAAATTGGGTATGAGAATGCCTCAGTTGGGTAAGATCTATCTGAGAACAACCATGAATTCAGGTGTAGGAAAATTAGTCTTGTAAAAATAAAGACTGTTGAAATTCAGTGATCACTGCAGTATGTACTCAAATATATTCATGTTTTCAGCTTTCATTCTTAAATACTTCAGACGTCTCAGAAAGACAGCAGTCACAGTAATACCATGGAAAAGCTCAAATTATGAGGAAAGTAATAAATAAATAAGAACAAATAAATACCTATAGATGTATCCATTATGTGTGCCTGTATGTTTACCTCTTCCCCTGATACCCTTATTGCCAAATAGAAGTTTTGGAGGTTTTTACAATCCACACTCTTCTCATGGTTTCATTAATATTTTCTTATTAATTCAATGATTTTCAGATAAATTTTCTCTGTTGCATCAAGGCCCCAGATGAAATCAAGATGTCCCCAAGGAGGAAAATGCTCATGGTAAATGAGATTAGTAATCCGAGGAAGTAGCCTTGCCATGTCTTTTGGATCTGCAAATGTGTCCTGTCCACCACTCCAAACAGCAGTTGGTGTCTTTATGTCCTCAATCTTGTACACAGGAGGAGCAGTCTGTAAGACAGGGAGGAGACCTGAGTGAATGCTGCTGCTGTATCAAAGCTGTGTTTAGAGAAAGGTTTCTGAGGAAGCACCTCTCTTTGTCTTTTGCTTCTGCACTGCCTACAGTAAAACCATAGGGATGAAGGCCACCCTCTTATTGTTCATTGCCCTAACCCCACTCCCTGCCTATGGAATGCCCCATCCTATTCCTGTTCTTTCTATAAAGCATGGCTAAGAGTTGTCTTGCAGTTGGGCCCTGGCTCGTGCTCTTCAGAGGTGTGGGCATGGAAAGAACTGAGTAAGTATTCATCAGTCAAGGACTGTGGAGATTTCTCCTGTGTGTATTCAGGGTGAGGGGATCTATAAGTTTTTTTGGGATGCACAGAGTGCAGCTTTTGGTCTTAGTTTTCATGCTTGGAACTGAAGTGGGACTGAAATCATTCAGTTGTTTATGACTTCATATAGAAAATTGCTCAGTGTGTGAGATAAAAGTGACTGATTGTAGCTCTGGTGCCTTTCTGTTTTTGGAAAACAACTTTTTGGTAGAGCACAGAACACTGCAAGTCCAATGTGCGGGTCAAAAGTGAAATGATTGCCAGTCCACTGGAGGGGTCACTGTAGCTGTGATATCCCTTTCCTCTCTTAAATGAAAGGCAGGCTTTGAGGATTTTTGGGCAAGTGAAGAGCTCTGTAGTCACCCAGTACTAGGACTTGGATGTGGTTCTTATTCATTTCTGGAATGGTATGTAAGTTGACATGTCATTGAACACATCCCAGCATCAGTAAGGGAGGCAAAATGAAGTTCTGCTAATTGTCTGTAAGGGTCTATCTCTGCCTGGTTTGTGAACAGACTTTTACACTTATGTGTGATTCAGCTGAAACACTATCTGAGACCACTCTGCCTTGTTAGTACTCACAGGTACTAAAATTTAAATTTTTTGATTACTAGTTTTACAAAGACCCAAGGATAAGTTCTGAGGGAAGCAGTTTTGCCTTACCTGGTTGTATTTCTTCATGTTTTCCTTAGAGCCATAGTCATAAGCTTGAAACTGGTCTGTATGTACTAGCTGTTAAAAGAACAGACAAAATAAGAGAGATGAAAGGTGAAGGAGTAGAGTGCTGGCAGCATATTCCTTGTCTGTGGGTTAAGTCAAGGCTCAGGTAGTGGACTATAGTTCCTCCCACACCTTCCTCTGGTTGCAGGGTGCTGAGGACAGATCACAGGGTAAGTGGCATCCTTGTCTTTTTTCTTGCTAACTTTCTGTCCTTATCTTCTACCCTCAGTATTTTTTTTTTTACTTAAAAGTTTGTTTTGCTACCTTACCTTATGTAACTAAAGTTGAGGTCCCTGATTGTCATGCAGAGTTGGGTTCAGCTGTCACATGGAAAGAGAACTGAATGTTTATAATGTATCAGGGCTACTACAAGTCTTGTGTAATGTGCCTTGCAGGACTGGTAAGTGAATACCTGGAGTTATTTGTTTTGGTAATTTAATTTTTTGAACAAACATGACAAGAAATTTCACTTGTGAGTGGTGTGTAAAAAAGGGTGAGAGAAACCCAGTGTCTGTCAATTTAGAAAACATTTTCTTCCAGGATTTAAGTAGCTGGGTATGGGCTAAAAATCTGTCTGGTGCATTGTCTTTGCTGTTCTGTCTTCCTGTATCTGTGTTTGCTTTGCATCCACTTGATTTTTTTAGAGGCTGGCAAAACAGACCATAGAGTCACCAGCTGCTCATGGTTTGTGTCCATTTCCTGGCCAGTTGTATCCTGTGGGACTGACTGCTGGGGAATCTTTGTCTTCAGGAGCACATCTATATTGTAGACCATATTAAACTTGCAGGTGCTCGTGGTGGTAGGTGAGAAGGTATGGTGGTCAGTTTCCCAAATCCAAAGCCCCTGGATTTCCCTGTAGGCTGTGAGTTGCATATAAAGCAGTAGTAAGAGGTAGTTTACGTGTCAGTGCACAGTTATACCTGTCGCCAATGAAGAATGTTCTGTACCGATGTTCCAGCTGGGGAATGTCCTACATACGTATCTATTCGACTCTGGAGAGAAAGCAGAATTTTTATAAAGACAGAGATCCAGTACTGTGACAGAATAAAACTGTGAAGAAAGTAAGTTTCTAATATTAAAGAAGTCATCTTACAAAACATTTTTTATAGTTCTGTTAAGGAGATGTTCCAATTCCATCTCCCTGGATTCTTCCTCAGCTATATTACCTTACTCTGAGAACCACATTAGGGACTTAAGAAAGGCAGGAAATGTCCTTAATGGTTTAGCTCTGCAACTCAAAACTGCAACTGGTTTTGAATTGAGTCTATTTGCTATTGCATTTGAGTCTAACTGCTTTCCCATATGTCCTTTTAACAAAGATTATAGATGAAAAAATGGGCCCAGCTGTTACACACACTGCAGTAACAAACATTATACAGGCCAGCTTCTGCATACTTTGGCCACTGTAAAGGGGATTGGCACCACAGCATCCATATATCGGCAAGCAGAGGAAAAGCTGCTGTCTCTCCTGTCTGCTCTGACTGATGCACAGTTGTTGGTGAATCTGACTGTAGGTGGCAAAGTGGAAGCTGTAGCTCTACACCCTGTGGACTGAGCTGTTGGGCCCAGTTCTAAGATCAACAAAACCAAGAAAATGCCCCTTACAGTAGCTCTTTGTGACCAAGTTTTGGTGCAAACAGTCTGAAAACTGGGAAGAAGAAGAAGAGGTTTTTCTCCTGCCTTTTAGCTCTTCCAGTGTTCAGAGGACCCCAGTGTCTATATGCTGAGGAAGGAAACTGGCAACTGTATTGCCAAGAAGTCTGACTCCATCACTCATTGTCTCTTTTTAGAAACATCTGTGTGTGACAAAAATCTGGTTGGCTTAGCCCCAAAAGAGGGTGCATCCTGACATAAGCAATATAGCTCCAGCTTGAACTCAGTTCATTCTTTCTGGCATTGCAACATGCCTAGCTGTTGCCCCCACCCATCACTAGGCCTGTGTTGCTGCTGTTGACAGTACACAATGTCCTGGCATTCCCTCAGTCTGCTGAGAACTACACTGTGGTTTTTGTACGTTTACATGCGCGATGGTAACTAGACAAGGATATAGTGCACAAGTGCAGCTGCCAAAATTCCTTTAGTTTTGCTCTGAGTAAGTGTTCTTGCATATACTTACTGTGTTGATATTTTTTATACTGCCTCCAGCTATGTAACAGAGAACATGGGCACAAAACTTATCCAGGCTTGTACAGAGCTGTGTCACGGGTCCTTTCAGAAATTCGATCTGGTGCATAGCTCCTTTGCAGCCAAGTGCTAACTGAGGGAAAGGAAAAGTGCAACATTTTTTTTTTCTAGTTAGCAAAGAATTTTATGCAGAAAATTGTTGCTAATAGCTTAGCCTTCATAAGGCAGCATTCAAGTAGTGCTGGAAGAGCTTACCCTCACAGTACCCCTTAAAACACTCTCGTCCCCACAGCTCATCATTTATTCTTCCTCCTTCATATTATTATTAGCAATCCTAGAGGAAGCTAACATTTCTAGTGTGCTGACTTTAATGCCTACTCATTTTTAAAGTCCTAGAAATTGTCATGTCTGTTATTGCAGTTCTGGTTTAAGTCCTCCTGCATGAGACCAGCAACATTTTAGATAAGCAGCAGGAATACTAAAACAGGACAGAGTTTCACAAGTCTCCTACTTCATTGGGAGCTACTGCTATGAGCTCTATATCCTAACTATTTTCACCACAGGGTCTGGGGAACAGTTTTTTTGAGAGCACTCAATTCATCCAAAGATGAATTGTCTTGTGTGACAAGATCTCAGTGTCAGCATGTCACTTGTTTGTGAACATTTGACCTCAGGCTGAGAGAGCCCCATGAAGATCAGTCAGGCACTGGACCTCTTAGAAGGGAAAAGTGACATACCCTGAGCAGTGGTTCAGGAAGATTTGTAATCTTAACCAGAGGGCTTGTGGCATGTGAACACACAGTTACTGGGCCCAGAGCAAAGAAGATTTTCACCCGTTTAGCCAGCTCAGGGTATGTATAAAATGCTATGAAGCCTGCAAACACAGAAGAGACAGCCTGAGTTAGTGAAGATATCCTCCACAGACTAATTAAATGCATAAACAGCAGATAGCAAACAAGATATCATAGTAGGTTGGCAGCTCATTGTCTGTTGTTCATGTTTGTGGTTCAGGTTTTACTCAAGGAAAGTGTTGAAGCAAAGTCCTGAAACTAATTTTATTTGGGAGACAAAGTTCATTTTAAGGTTTAAAGCATGTATGGGCATTGTCTTTATCAGAACTGTTTTTGTAGGCAACATGTCAGTAAGGTTTTGAAGATAACATGAATTCCCTCTAAAGTTTATGAAACTCTCACAAAAAAAGAGTTTTTCAAATTAGAGTTTCTAAAGATCTATGCATGTTTATGCTTTCATGAAACTATAGAATAATTAGCTGAATACTAGGAGCTTAGAGTGTTTTCAACTGATTGTTTGCATCACAGGCAGATAAGAAAACCTAGATGCTTGGTTTGTTTTGCCATGGGGGTCCTTAAATACTCATATGAGAAGCAAAGAAAGAAAAAGTCAGAATTTGTGTCAATATATGATTTTCCCACACTTTCTTCTCTTTTTTTTCTGGGTTGTTTACACTAATAACTGGCACTGGCTCCTTTCTAATCATTGTCTTGGATCATGCTCATGATCCAAGGCAATGATTACTGTTCATGGATCTTATACATAAACCATAACCATCAAGAACCTTCTACTCAGGCTAAAAGAAAGTTAGCTGCATTTAGAGGCCATGAAATGAATAATGACAAATGCTGAACCTAAGAGAAAATAAACTATTAATGGTTTTGCTTTCCTGTTTTTTTGTCTCTGGCACTATGTTTTCAAACAGAAATGCAGCCAGTTATATCCATTCATGGACCACAACTTAAATTGTAAGATTGACACCAAGTCACAACTTAGTAATGTTGAGGTTATTTTTCCTTGTCTTCAAGCAATTTAATTGAAATAAATTTATTAATTCAAATTAGGTATTATATGGGCTTTTTTATCTTTTTAGTTTTTCCATCCTGTTCACAAGAACAGTGTCCCCAGGGCAATGGTCACAGCACCAATTCTGTTTGAAAAATACTCTCAGGCACATGGTGTGAACACTGGAGATGATCTGGGCAGGTCCAGGAGCTGGACTTCAATGATCCTATGTCCCTTCCAGCTCAGGATATTCTATGACTCTGTGATTCTAATTGTCTGTCTTAATACAAAAGAACTTCATGTAAATTCCTGTTGCTGAGAAAAATACCCTATAGCAGTATCAGAATTACCCAGTAAATGACCCTTAATTAGTCTGTAATTATTTAAAAAGTTGAACTATCCCTGCATCTTCTATTAAGTTTATTTGCTTCTTAAGGGTAACCAAAGCTGATTTTAGAAATGTTTTGCATGTTTTCCAAATCTCAGCCCAGAAAAATCTGTTTTCCTAGCTCTCTACAAACATGAAAAAAACCAGAATCAGTGGGGAGGTTCACCTACTGATCAAATAGCACAAATGGTTGTTAATAATTCTCCTGACATTACCTACAGTTGACCCTTCAGAGTGACCAACATAGTAAACATCCTTCTGTCCAGTTTTATTCATGATGAAGTTCAGCTCTGCAGGAATATCGTATTTACCCATTTCATCGAAGCTGTGGGGAGAAACACAAAAAGCTGGCAGACAATTTGTCTATCATGGTGTGAGTTACTGACTGTCAGTTTTGTTCATTGCACCAAGCAGGACCCCCAGAAGGAGGAGGTTGCACACTGAGTCTGCATCCTTGCTTGAGCTGGGGAGGTGGGCAGAGGAGTGCAGCTGTGCAGCCTGGCTGCCTGATGCTTTGGGCTCTGTGTGGATGAAGTGCCAGTTTCACCTGACAGCTGCAGCCCTTGGGGAGCTGGATTTAATCAGTGCTTTCAACTGCGTGGGTTACAAAGTACATTTATCTCTTGGTTGGATTGAACTGTGAGAGATCAGATTTCTAGACAAGGCTGCCCAGCATGTTCCAGCTGAGGTTCTTGCTCTCCCTCTCATAGTATGGTCTTCCTTTTCCTTAGCATCCTGTTTCATTTCCCAATCTTTGAAATCTCTTCCTCAGCCAATGCTCCCAACTCTGAGTAGTAATGAGCATCCATCCATCTTTGTCTGGTTCTTTACCCTCCTGGGTTGGTGTAGATCCTGATCTGATGCTGGTTTAGGTGAAAGCCATCAGACTGAAGCTATCTAGTCCCCCTGGAGTTTCTGTGTTGAGTCTTTCTCTCTCTACTGAGTACCTGAACTGCCAGAACTCCTTCTGGCAAGGCTTAAGGGTCTTGTGTTTTAAAGACCAGGTGTTCCCTCTGCTGTTTCCCAACCAGACGTCATAGCCGGCATCTGCGAGCACAAAGCCCAAGCTGTTGTTGGGCAGGTTGGAAATCCAGTGAGTAGCATCTCCTAGGAAAGCATGCTGCAGGAACACTGCAGGCCTTTGCCCTGAAAAAGATTAAAAAATTATATCCTTGGAACAGCAATTAATGCGCATTTAATATTGGAGTGCAGAGTTCAATTTTTGAGAGGTTTCCTTCTAGAAGCTCCCAGGAGAACTATACATAGATATCGATTTGAAAAACCTGAAGGATTTTCTCCTGTGCAAGCAACAACCTTTTAATGACATTTCATAACCATTTTATGACAGGTCTGGCAAATAAAGGATTTACTGAGGATTCCTGTTCTACCTCCTCTTGCACTGAAAAGCCAGCTTACAGCCCCTATGCTGAAGCCATCTACCCGAAGCTGAAAACTGCTGAAGGCAGAGCAGTGTATGGAAGAGAAGGAAAAAAGAGTCCAGAGAATGAAATCCACGCTTCAGTAACCATTGAGCAGGGCTGAGAGACCCCTGATCTAACCTGGCTAGCCTTACTTTGAGAGTCAGACTAGTCCAAATGATCTCCATAGGAGATCCACTTAGGGGAAGGGATCCAAAGAAATCATTCTATAATACTAACAAGGACTAATAATTAAAGCAGCAGTACTCAGCGTACCTCAAATTCCAGCTTGAAATTTTTATGAAGTTCAGCAAATGTGATGTAACCAATGAAATGTACTTACTTTTCACTGACAACCTGATTTCTTTCCTTCTTCCTTGAGAATATCTCTGTCCTTCAGAAACCGGGGAATTAACTCATATGCCTAATGTATATTGTTTAGATTGTTAAGTCAAAACCTCCTCAAATCCTGTTTATCAGCCTACCTGCCAGAGCATTTAAGGGAAAAAAAACCCTTCAGCCCTTGGATGTAACAAAGTTATTAGAAAAGTCTGAAATAAGGACAGAGACACTGAATGTGTGGAGTTCAGATAGATTCAATATGCAAGTCACACTTCTGACCAGGTGCTCTTGAGGACATGGAAAGGTATGGAACATGCCATTGCAGGTGAAAAGGGGAAAGACGGGAAATCTGTGTAGGAGTTGGCTCTCAGAGCTTCCTTGTGTGCTGTAACTGTGTCACACCTGAACTTCGGTCATTCCTCCCAGCAGGAATTCTGTAAAGAGCAAGAATGTATCCATCCTCTGTTGTAACTTCATATTCCTCACTGGGAAATCCATGATATCTGATAATTTCACTCTGTGGAAAGCCAAAGGAGAGTTAATGTGCCAGTTGTCCTATTCTGGAGCCTAACCAAGATGAGAAGTGCAGGTGTGGGATGTGCTGTGGGTAGTGCAAGGCCCTGGCCACAGGGACCATGGCTAAGAATAAACATTACAGGTCTTGTAAAAAGATGAAGCAAAGTCCTCCTCATGTTTAGATGGTGGCTGTCTGGTATTTAGGCCCCTATTATGGGACAAAGCAGAACTGTACTGAGTGACCAACACCTTTCTGAGAGATAGTTTGTCATGTTATGCAAGGCTAGTACAGATTGTACCTTTCTACAGATTAAATATGCAGCCATATCTGTATAAGACAATGCCAATAGCTGTGGGGATGGTCCATGATGAATCCTTGCCAAAATGTGGTTAGGCAAGCCATGCAGGCAAAGCAAACAAGGGTGGAGATCTTGTCAAATGAATTGATGGGACCACCTACACCTAATTTTCAAGTACAATTTTGCACGTACTCTGAGGAAATCTTTGGTGACTCAGGGCAAAGCATCTTTGATTAGTTTGCATTGTGGGAATCTGAAGAAGGGGTTCAACCTCCCTTACCACTGCTCTGAGCAAACAGTTTGTCACGGAAGGGCAGGCCTTTGCTTCATCTGATATTAAAAACCAGCCTTTGCTTCCATGGCAAAGGAATTCTTCTCTGTGGCAGCCAGACTGGATGGGAGAATCAAAGTTTCTTCCAGGATAGTGCTGGAAGGTTCTCTGTTCTCTTGCCAGGTTTGCACTCCTCCCCTTATGCAGTGGCCTGTAATACTGACATGTGCTGGGAAAGCTGACTGCAAACAGTATCATGAACTGTGACACAGCTCCACATTTATCCATAAGTGAAGTGAATCCATGAAGCCCATATATCTGTTGGGCTCCACCATAAATGCAGACAGCAAAGTTTGTTGTTCAGTTTGGTATGGACTGGAGCATGTAGTCTGTGCTCTTTCCACAGTCTAGTGCTGAGTCTGGACACTGGGATCCAAATTACATAGTCTGGATCTCCAGTGCCCCTCAGAAGGTTCTGGGGAGATTCCTAGCCTTGGAAGCAAAGGTAGCATTCAGCAGTCCCCACAGCAATGTGCAAGAAGCACATCAGTCCCTGGCACATTCAGAGCCAGCCCGCATCATAGGAGGGACCCCACAGCAGTGGTTCTGGAAACAGCAGGCTGGGAAAACAGGAGATGCAGAAGGGGCCCTTCTTGTCTTTCTTGACAAGGACTGTCAGCTATGCAACTGGAAGAGAAGCTTCAGAAGGGGAGAGAAGGTGACCCAACTCACAACATTCATGAAGCATTCGGGGTTGCGACTCTTCTTGCAGCGGTTTGTGTCAGCACCTGCAGTGGGGGCTGCCGTGAATCCTGCTGAAAAGGCAATTCCTTGGGAGCAGAGCAGCACGAGGAGGCACCACATCTTGGGGCTGTGTGGAAGAGCACATGCAGAGGTGTTTGTGTTAGGAAGAGAGTGGAATTCCCAGGAAGACCCAAGAAGAGAGTGTCCTGAAGGTCGCCCAGGAGTTGTTCCCCAAGGGCTGCCAGAATAAGAACCTGTGTGAGGACAGGCTGTCTACAGCTCACCCTGTTTAACAGGTAGGGTTGAAGAACAGGAGATGAAAGCGCCTACGGATACCATGCAGGAATATGCCTGAGCACTCTGCAGGTTTCAGGGGAACTGGGGTTGGTACACAGGGCCAGCTCTTGGCACAAGCCTAGCAGAAGCTTGACAAAGAAGTGTGAGCACTTGAGATGACCATCACCTAACTTGTCTGCCTTTATCTGTCTCTACCCTTCTGCCAGCAAAAGAGGTGGAGGGAGAAGAAAGCACCGTTTGTCTCCTGTCTCCTCCAGAATGAGGTGAAAGAGGTTCAGGATGGGCTCTCTTTAAACCTCCCTTCTCTTTCTCTGGGACTGAATGCTACTCTTGTGTCAGTGGTGTGCTGGGGTGAGGGACCAGATAATGAGGCTCATGGAGGGGCCAGGAGTAATTCAGGCACTCTGTGAGGAGATTTAATGGATGTTGGGCAACATGATTGTACGTTCAGTGCTTTCCTCAGAGGATGATGTGCCCCAGAACATGATCAAGTTCTGTTTGAAATCAGCTCCTCTGACAATATGGAGCAAACAAGGTGACCATGCATGACTCCCCAAAATCCCCATGAGTCATTTCCTAGTTAGCCTTACCTTTTGGCCACCAGGTGAGCAGCCATGAGGAGTGAGCAATAGATCCTGAGACTGCCTTTGTGCTGCCAAGGGCCTGTCTCCATTACCTCTTAGAAATGGTTGTCCATAGTGCAAATCATGTATTGGTCATGGGGAAGTGAGACCTTGACCTTTCCTGAGATGATGGATGGCTCCACATTAGCATTTCTGAACAGAAATTGCAGAGTGCAGTTGATCTAGTACAAGTTTATGCCAACTCCATGTGAAATAGATATACTTCCAGGTTTTAGTCTTTATTTTCTAGAACCCAGGTTAGTGAGTGCAGGAACACTGCTTTCTTTGAGATTCCCAAGCTTTTTTTTCAACAAGATAATTTTGACACAAACATCCCTTAGAAAACAGAAGAACAGATTCTGTGACCCAGTTACTGAGTGTGGGATTAAAGGTTAAAACTGTGTGGAGAGCAAGTGCTCACAAATTCAGTGCTCCTTACTTCTTCTTTCTGAAGAACTGCAGAAGAAGACTGATCCATGAAGCTCAGTATGTGGATACTAAATGCAAAAGCAAACAGGGAACAGAGTCTGTGTGAAACTAAATCACACAGGCTTCTCACTCCAGCCTAGGAAAGCATAAGAAGGAATCCAAACAGTCCTTGGTAAAGGACAAGGATCTGCAGGTGTTGTTTAGTCAAGGGTGGTGTTCCATTTAACCAATGATGGTGATGTGTACCTTTAATTACTAATGAGAGTTTTGAGACCTTCTCAAACATGTGTATAAAAGAAGATTAAGAGTAATAAACTTTGCTCTCTTGGACAATGCAGCTAAGGGAGTCATGTCGTATTGCTTCACGGTTCCTAATATAGTGTGACATCAGTACTGCACTTACACATTCAAGAAAAGCTACATCATACATCATACAACAAATTTTTGTTTTATGCATGTGCTTTAATGTGTGAGGAGAGAATGATGCCTGTGAAGAGTAGTCATTCTGCACGTGTATAAAGACCATAATGATCAGGCAGGAGACCTAAACGTTTGACAGTAGAATTCATGGGATTTAATGCAGTGTAAGGCTTCAGCTCATCACAGCCACTTGTAATCTTGTAAGATTGCCTCACTTGTAATGGCTGGGAACACCACTGCTCTTGCAGGCTGGGCTTCCTCAGAAGAAGAGGACACATTTCTATGACTGTGGTGTGTTTGTGTTAGCTTACCCTCTGTCCATCCTGTAAGTGACTTTTGATGTATTAAATATCTGCCAAGTCCAGCACTGAGACACAAGCCTCTACAGTGATGGGGTCACAGCAGCTCCTGAGGACTGTTTGTCAGGGAAGGACTGCTCCAGAGGGTTCAGCCTTGCTGGAGGGAAGGCAGATAAAGACAGCTGGTGTTATGTTCAGCAGCAGCCAGCAAGAGTGTGACTGTCAGCATTTCAGAGTCCATGTAGCTTTGCAGTAGCCAAAGCATACAGGGTTTGTGAGTGATGAGTCAGCTTCTAGCATATCTGCTATGATGAGATATGGTACTCTGTGAAGTTTATTTGCACTCAAGAATGTTCAATATGAAGATCAGGAGAAAATAAGAAAGTATTCACCATCAAGTAATGGGGAAGAGCAGAATTTGTGGGATGAGAGAGAGGTAAACAAGAAAAATATGTTTTGACTTTTAGTGATCTTCAATTTGGCCTTTAAATTTGACTGAACAAATTTAAAGAAGTCAAACCTCATGAATCATCAAACATTTGAAATGAAGCAGCATTTGGAAACACCCAAAACTTTAAATTTGGCATCAAAACACACTTAATTAGATTCCTTTTGTTTATCAAATTTTTTATTATTTTTTTTTTTTGGTCAGAACAGGAAGCCTCACAACTATATACTCAGGCAGTGCAACACTGTTTTGCTTTCTGCTGTTTTACTCTGCTCTAGTGGGAGTAAAATAAGATTGCCTCTCCCTGTTCTGGGAATCTCAATTTGGCAAGAAGAGGTTCTGCTAATATCTCAACTTGTTTTCAAATCACTACCAGAATTAATTGAGGCAATGCAGAGGCTTTCATCAATGCACGCAGTGATCACCTGGCTTAGCTGACATGTTTTATGGACTTCCAGGTTTTCACCTTTTACTCAGATGCAGGGGGCCAAGTAGCATCAATCTTGGCAGGCCACTGCTCTCTTAAATTCTAGGAATAAAGACAGGAGATGAAGCTGTTTTTGCCTAGTGAGATGAAGTCATAAGAAATGACTGAGCCTGGTAAACTATCATAAAATAACATGCTTAGATGGAAAAAAGATCAGAGAGAGAAATGCCCTTGAAAGTTCCTCTACACACTTTTACAATTTAGTGAAGCTAAGATGCAAGCCATTCCGAAATTTGTCCCTCTATCCTTGTGCATTAAGCAGTCTAAAATTTACTTCATAGAAGCGTAAGGCATATGCACACCAACCAGAAGAGCAACTGTGACTAAACATGCATGAGAATTTGCTGCCTTACTAAGAGAACATACTCGTGCATTATACGGAAGGAACAGGAGGTCCACATTGTTGCAATACTTGCATATTCATTCCCTTGTTCTCAGAGGGAAGAAAACAAGTAGGAAAAAATTAAATTGTTGCTCTTTTCCCTTTTGTGCAGGTCAAACTTCTAGTTTAAGCAGAGAAGCACTTCTGTGCACAGCAATAGGCTTACAGATGAGAGAGGAAAAACACTTTATTATAAATATTGCTTATTTTTACAACCAGCTGCACAAAAGCAAGGCAGCACATCTTTAAGACAGAAAACAGAGAAAGAGACCATAAGCATGTATGTACAAGCAACTTACCTCTGCTTTGACTGCCTTGCTTCTGTCTTCTGCCACGGTCGCTGGTCCGTCTCCGCCAGCAGACTGATTCACTGGCAGAAACCTGCGCGGATAAAAGGAAGTCAAAACAAAATGAGCACTTCAGGGAAGCAGCTGTGTAGGCAGCACGTATTGCAGAGCATGTTTAAGTACTGATCTGGCAGTGTTTCAGAAGTGGGGAAATATTTGTGATGAAAAAGATGATCTGGTTTAATTCACCATCCCAAAATGCCCCATGGGGCAGGAGAGTGTAGAGAGTACCTATAAATCAGTGGTTAGTATGTTTAGCTGGGACCTGGGTGTTGCAGTTCTCTGGGGCTGTGGCAGACCTTGATCTGTACTGTTGCCCAACTGAGGGGCTGCTTCAAATGTAATCTTTTAAGATGAAAGGGAGGAAGTGTCCAGCTTTTCTCAACATAGTGTCTCAAGAATGCTGTCTCTGCTATTGCTTTTCATTTGGTTTATGTTAACTTTAACACTGCAGACTGACCTAAATCTGTTTTCCAGTGAGCAGCACAACTCATGAAACCCACTCTATTTTGTATTAATCACACTTCAGTGCCAAAGAAGGCTTGAGCACTACATGTAACCTTTTTCCCAGTGAGGGAACAAGCAAGGGTTCTTGGTATCCTAAGACATTTTCGTCACCTCTGAAAACACGGTATCTGGAGATCTTTGCTTAACAGCTGAATCAGCTGTAGTCAGCCTGAGGGCTCAGTCCTCACTGAGATTGGCTCGATGAACATGGGCAGAAGGACATGTTCCGTGTCCTTGGGCAGCTGGGCTATAAACTAAGCAGAATACATGAGGATCAGCCTGTTCAGCCAATTAACTCACAAGTGTCTTCAGAAGAACTTGAGTTTCATCATGGGCTGAAGGGCATTTAGAAGAACACCAGATAAGAAGGATGTATTCTTGGGAACACTACTGCAAACAGTATGATGCCTTTGACTAGAGAGGGAAGGAAAGGTTTAGTGAAACTGCTGTTTCATCACGAACAGTTGTGGGTGATGGCACAGTAACAGTTCTGCTTTACATACAAAGTAGAGAACATTGTTTGGGATAGTGGGAAAGGTAGTTCAATAATTTTTCAGTGAAAAACATTATAACTTGACTTTTCTGATATCTGTAAGTGACAATAACAATCATCAAACTGTAAATTGATGACTCAGAAGGACTTCTGCAACATGCCTCATCCCTTCCAAGGTGGGATCAATAGTTCCCATGATCTGTCCAATGCTGTTTGCTCAATCTGCTTTTCCTGATTTTCCAGAAAATTCAAATCTCTGCCTCCTCTATGGCATCCTAGGTTGCAAGATAGCTGCACAATTGCAATCTCTTTTCTAGGTGACTTTATGGAATGCTCTGCCTACTCTCAGATATGATGCTGTTGCATTTAGCATGGAAAGCATTGAAAACTTATAAAGTAGGTCTCATGTCCTCATACATTTTCCCTGCAAGCAGCAAGTTAGTTGAAAGATTGACTGTCTGAAGGGTATTTGTCTCCAGGAATTTGTATTTGATGGAAAGAATGTCCTTGTCTGGAGGGGAACTGTTTTGTTTGGATCAAACTCTAGCTACATTTGTGAAACAGAAGGAAACAAGACAGCCTTCAGCAGTGGGCCCAGGAGATGAGAAAGGCCTGTTGTTTCTCTTGGAAGGGGAAGGTGCAGAAGTGGTAACAGCCATGGTTAATTTGTTTGGCTAATTTACCATTACTCAGAGTGAGACACTGGCCCTTTGGTCATACAGTGTCACCAGTGAACTGTCCCAGTGCAACAGCTGCACTGTGCTGGCTCATGTCCCAGACTTGGCCCACAGTCACATTTCATTGAAAAAGGGAATGAGGGTGTCAGGCTGAAAGGAAACCCCTAAATGCACAGTGTTTCTTTTCACAGTGAAGCTAATGGCACACCTTGTTTTGGGGGAATGGTGACCTATAATGCTGCAAACTAATAACCACAGAGCTTACCCATCAGCTGAGTGGTTTTGTGCAGTAACTACCTATTTGAAACAAGGTTGGTAGAGTCATAATTACCTCAGGAAATTTATCGGATGAATAATTCTTTAGCAGTGTCTTGAAAGCAGCTCTTTCCAGTAGTGGTCAAAGTGTTCTAAATTTACATGGGATGAAGACAATGGATTCTTTCTAGCAAGGTTTAGGTACTTTTCACTTTAGTGTTTAAACTCCAAAGAGGCTGCTCAGTGCCTTGACTAAGGTTAGATGATCTCAGCTCTGTGATAGCCAGTAGCTTACATTTGAAACAGCAGGAGGTGTGAGGTTTCTGCTGGGTTCAGGGTGTAACTTTGGAACAAATGGTCCCATGGAAGTTCTGCCATTGCCAAAATGATTAAGATTGAATCAGCCAGGATTTCTCTTTCTCAGGGTGGGTTTTGAAGCCAAGTTTCCCAGCTTCCAGGTGTATGCTTGAACCATGATACTGGTTACTGTTTTCTGTTAGGCCTACCCTGTGTCCCTTGCTCTTCCTCATGAAAACAGGGAGCATTCCTGTTTCAAACAAAGACAAACCTTCTTTTCAGGAGTGAGGTTTTTTTTTGTATTAACTCATTTTCTTGTTTAATAATCTCGTTTAATAATAAAATTATACAATACCACAATTGTTAGAATAAGATTTTGATTACACTATGCCTTTAAATATCTGCCAGCCCAATTAACTGAGCAATAATATGAAGAATGGAAAACATCTATGGAGCACAGAATGCATCCAGAGAAAGGAAGTGCTTTCATTACTGTTATAGTCTAGAGAAGAGAGTAGGCTGGAAGCAAACCCTGTCCTCTGTTTGAAAAGTATAGTTATTGCAGAATTGAAGATGTATCTATTTGGAAAAGTATTAGAGCTCCACAAGGTTGCCAGAAAACATGAAGTGCACTGTCAGGATGCAAGAGGCATTGGAGTGCCATGTAGTGTGCAGGAGGAACCCTTTCCCTGACTCCAGGTGCAACAGAAGGGGGTTTTTTGTAGCCAGTGAATCGAAGTGCTGTTGAATGGGTCAGGTAAGGCATCTGGTTGTGGGTTAAGGATACTTCTGCATCAGATCAATAATTTCATTGTACACATGCAAAGGTGCATCCAATCCCCAGATGAAATCCAGGTGTGCCCATTCAGGAATCTTCTTGTGATAGATAAGCTTCTTAATTTTAGACAATAAAATGGCTGCATCCTTGGGATCTGCAAGCAGGTCTTGTCCCCCAGTCCACACAGCAGTTGGTACAGTCATCTCTTCTATGTTGTAGAGAGGAGGAATAGTCTGGAAAACAGTACAGGAATGAATGTCCAGGAGAGCACAGCAACTTTAAACATTCATTTGGGGCTTTCTTCTGTCACTGCTCAAAGTAGAGGTGTCTAAACCAAAGAGGAAGGAAGTTCCCCTGTTTGCCTTTTCTGTCTGTGCTCACAGGGATTACTCAACTGATAGCACAGTCAAGAGTAAAGCACCTCCTGAGCTGACAAAGAGTTATTGTGGGTCTCTGCCCTTTCAAGTGGCAATCTTAGGGCAGGAGCCTGAAACTAGACAGAGATGTCAGGATGCCTCTGGATAAACCCCCATCATGGTCCTTTTGAAGTACTGGTCAGTCCCAGAAGACATGGGCTAGAGAGAAAACACAACATGTGACAAGGACAAAAAGGCTTCTGTAGGAGGAGAGGGAAAGCAGCTTAGGACTCCTATGTCTGGGAAAGAGATGTCAGAGCAAGGACAGGAGACAGGTTTATACAACCACAAATGGTATGAAGAAAGAGCACTGGAAGTAATAGTCCCAAGCACAAAACCTAGAAGGCATCCTGTGACTTTCCAGGAACAACCAAATTCAAGGCAAACCAAAGGAAGCTGCATTTCATGCAAGTCATCATTAAAACATGTAACTCATCATGACAGGCTGTTGTGGAGACCTAAAGGGTAGGAGGGTCAAGGATGGGATTGAGTCTTAAATGGAAAAGATGTTCCTCAGGGTCTGCTTGAGGACAAAGTCCTTTTGTGTCTGGCTGCCAAAATCTAGGAGTGGCTGTTAGTTTTCCAGTTTTCCTATTCCTAATATTGTCATCTGTTTCAGTTACACTAGTAGGCAAGATGTTTTTGTTATTTTCTGTGTACTCTTCTCTTTCAAAAATTAATTTTCTATTTTTTCTGCCCTTACTTCCTCATTCCTATTGAGCATTTAATTGAAAAGTTTTTCTCTTATTCTCTCTCTCTCTTTTAAAATGTATTCAACTTATTATTGCCACTAGTGCTTGTATGCTTCCTCTGTTGACTTCCAAACTGAAAAGCAATAATATTTTCATTGACTTATGTTATGAAAATGTGTCTCCTACAACATCCTCACTCTCTTTCTGTGTGTTTCTGTGTTGTCCAAGGCTGCTTCACCAAAACCTACCTGTTGGTATTTTTCCATGTTCTTCTTTGAACTGCCCCAGTCATAAGCTTGGAACTTCCCCGAGCGGGCCTCCTGAGAGGATAAACAAGAGAAGGGTAGTAATAAAGCCATAATTTGGGAATTTTGTGTGTTGTTTCCCTGATGAGCCTCTGACTCCAATCTAACACCCCAAGAGAAGTTCTTCTAAGAGCTTTGGAAAAGCCAATAGTAAATTAATTAAAAGGGTCAAAAAGTGAAAAGGAGTCAAATGTTTTTGTCATAACGAAAGAAATTCACATCTTCTGCAGACAGACCCAAGGATGTCCTCACAGGCAATTTGTTCAAGTTTGTAAAACTGCTGTTAACAACTGCTGTCAGCAAGTCCATCTCAGTGCTACCGCCTTGTCCTATTCTTACGGCTGTGTTGCCGACACTCAGCTCTGTGAGTGGCTTCATCTTATCTTTCTCTTCCCACTCTATTTTGAATATAGAAATTACCATTTTTAGTTGTTCCCCTTGGCTTTACCTGCAGTGTGGGTTGTCTCTACTCTGAGAGACAGTCTTACCAGAATCTTAGTATTGAAATTCCGTTAGCTTCTTTAGTTGTAATAACAGTAAGGACAACAAAGGAATATTACTTCTGCATGTTTGTGCTTGCAGTCTGTGGTTAGATGCTGAATTACATCTGAGTCAATCTGCGGAATTCCCCCACTCTGCTTTTGTAACCCTTTTTCTTTACAGGTCCAGCTACCCCATGACACATGGTTACAAAAGCAACTTATTCAAACCTACTGTCTAATGCAAACTCACAGCCAAAAGCAGAATTTTGAGTAAGTGCCTGTGCAGATTTCATTCAAACATATCTGTGTGTTTGCTTTGCTGAAAAGGGCACGAATGCTCCTGCAAACTCTGTGTCCTCACAGCTGCTTCCTGCACTGCTCCAGAGTCCGTGGTGCTGCCAGGAAACCTGCCTCACTGCAGAGGCTCCCCCGAGGGAGCTCTTTGGATCCTCTGAGCCCAAAGACAGAAGTAAAATGGGACAATTTATGTGGCAGCCTAGATTCTGCTCGTTTCTTGACACTATATTGGAAACATGACTAATTTATTAAGGTAAACTCCCTACAGAACTGTGGACACAATTTATAAAAGCTACTGGATACACAACCAGAAGAGTGATGTGAACACCTGCACACACAGCTTCCAGCCTATATATTTCTACTCAAATGCAGCACTTCATTATTGCCTTCAAATGTACCTGTATCACATAAGGCATTTCCACACTGCTGGCAAAAGAAGGAGCAATGAAAAGTAGTGTTCTGGACTGAGCCTTCAGTTGCAACGCACAAGTTGCATGTACTTCCAAGAAGTTGGCAATGGCTTCACAGATGGTTATCTCTGTATCTCTCTATTCAGCTTGAGGTGAGTACCTATTTTATCTTTCAGGGGTGTGCTCATACCTGACTCCAGTGGATTATGTTCTGCACAGAAGTTCCAGCAGAGGTTTGGGCAATATACACGTTGATTCGGTTCTGAAAGAGAATATTCTGTGGGAATTTTCTTCTTCCCTTCTCTGCAGATATACATGTAACATATGGTACAGCAGTGTCATGGATCATTAAAACAAATAGAAATTGGAATGGTATGATTGGAGACTCCCTCAGATTTACTTCACAGGTGGCAGTGTGTCAGATTAGGAGTAGCACTCAAAGAGCAATCCCCAACCAGAACATTTTCTGAGATGACTGAGAACCTAAAAGAATCTAGCAGGTGAGAAGGAATTAATAGAAAGCTAGCAATTTAGATCCCAATCTGTGTGGTGTTTTTTCTGAATTCTGTACCAGGTTCTGTGAGAGAGGACCACTGTTGGAAAGAACAACAAAGGGAAATGCAATTTCCTGATGAATGCACGAATTTTTGAAATAAAACACATCCTAGCACTGCAAGGATCACATAGCAGCTCAACAAGCTGCTATGTGATCCTTCCTTAGTGAACACTTTCTGAGGCATTTTTTGAAAAATCATTGAGCAAAATTTTGACTCCCAGGTGACCTCACCTACAGCTGGACATAGCATGAGGTGCCCTATGTCCTAATACTCTCCTACCCTGATGGTCCAAGGCTTGGAGAATGAGAACAAGGAGGAATATGTGTGTTCCTGTCTGTGTTGCAAAAAAAAAAAAAAATATGAAACAGGTAGGTTTTTTATTTCTTCTTCAGTGTGCCAGCATGTGAAATATCTCTGATAAGACCAGTAGCCACAGTATGGACCACGGTATGGTGTCCTGGGTGAGGTCTGTCAGAATCCAGACTGCAGAATTCTGGGGAGCTGTGAGCAGCTGTCAACTGTAGAACTGGTGTCAAATGCTTTTCTGAGGGGAGAGGCAGTGGTTCCCTGCCAGAGATAGAGCAAACAGCAGATACCACTGCCCAGTAGTGAAGACTGTTCCCTGCAATGTGATACTAATAGAAATTCAGCATTCACACTACAGGATAGAAGGTGAATTTGGGGAGCATAAGCTTAAACTCCCAATAGAGTTGGTAAAAGTTATACATACCACATCAATGTTTTTCAGGTTACAGCCACCCAGATTGAAGAAGACACTTCTACAAAGCCTGGCAAAAGCTCGGTGGCTGCAGACAGGGGCTATTATCCTTGTTAGACACTCAGTCTGGGGAAGGAATTCTCTGTTGCCAAGCATACCCTTTGAAATACAAAGATAACATTAATTTAGGAAAGTACACACTTCCCCAGCAATTTCAGTTGCTCTTGCTCGCCCTTTCTTCATTTGTCAAATGATGTTTCCACAAATAAGTGAGAAATTACTTGGTTTTCCATTGCATCAGCCTGCTTGGGCATTACTCAGCCTGGGTTACATCACTTTTAATGAAGCAATATGCTAAATGTTAACTCCAATGCATAGTTTAATCTTTTATATCAGTTGTGGCTTTGCCTGGAGGAATATTGGAAACCTTTTAGGATCTGCATCTTTGTACCTCTCTGGGTGACCTGTCCCTGTGCTGCACTGTTGCCTTGGACTGAAAGCTTTTCTTATTGCCCTGTGTGAACTTTCAAAGGCCTCACCACAAGGCAAACCTGCCCACATGCAAGTGAGTCAGCTACACAAAACCCTACACTTTCTATTTATCCATTTCAAGAACTGAACACACAAGTATATGGTCCAACACTAGAAACCAAGATATCACACACCCTGAGCATTTTTTCAGGAAGATAGAGGAGTTTTGTTGCTGGGCCTTTAGCATACTTAATAGCAGTGACAGGCGCCAATGCAAAGTAGAGTTTGATTTTTTGAGCCAGCTCTGGCATTGTTGAAAATGCAATGAAAGCTGAAAAAAAAGAAAAAGAAGAAAAAAGAGGAATTAAAAAACGATCACTTATACATTAGACTGTTTTCAGTATTAAAATATGATATTCTACATTTTCAATTTATAAGCAACCTTGTTAGTCGTTCAGAGACTATGAAACAGCCTAGATTTATATGAAATCTCTCTTCTCCATAAGTTAACAGCTTATAGGTTTTCTCCCTATTCACAGAAATTTCTTTCTATATTTTGAAGCTTTCTTCCAGACTTGATTAAACATAATGTGTACACTTCTGAAGTACATTCATGTATTTCTTATACTATTGGGAGGAAAAGACATTTTTATTCTGGTCAATCCAACTTTGTATTTTCTTTTTTCTTGTGTACATCTGGTCCAAACTGGCCAAATTCTCTTTCTGTAGTCTCATCTTCCTGTTTTGTTTATTTTGGAGAGCTGACAAGCTGCTGTTGGGCACACCCTTGCATCTTGAATAGAAACAATTTGCATGGCCCACGCACAACAATTTCCAGTATAATTCTTAGTTGACAGATTTCCAGCAGCAGTACATTTGATCCATTATGCTTCATTATCTTTATAATAAATTTTAAATGCCTACATGTTGAAAATTGTTTATACTAACACAGTATTTCACAACTACAAAGAGTTGATGAAAACTTCAGATACATTCAGTAACTCAGTATTTTAAATCAGATTTTACTCCTGTTTTCTGGAAGAATTCCTCTCTTGTGTGTAACTTACCAATGGTAGTACCTTGTGAATAGCCAATATAGTACAACTTTTCCTGTCCTGTTTCCTCCAAAATGAAATTTATTGCTGCTGGAAGATCAAACTTCGCCATCTCATCAAAACTGCAGGCAGGAGATTGAAAGAGAGGCATGCATAAATTAAAAACCAGACTTAAAATTGAATTCACATTTTTATAATTAGCTCGTCAGCAAAGAAAGTCTGACTGATTTAGTGAATAGCTCAATTGTTCCAAGTTCTTTGTTTTTCTGGCACTGGATATGGAAGATACTGCTCAAGATTTTTTGGGTTATTGTATTACACAGACTGGTGTTTCTAAATAGCTGCCAAAACTGGCTCCAGGGCTGAGGAATGGCTTGGAGGTGGCCTGTGCAGGTTCCTCTAAGTTGTTCTGCTGCTATGCCTCTAGTTTGACAAACCTGTTCAAGCAGTAATTAAAGTTGTCCCCATTACTATTACACTTCACATGCTTTTATAAGGGTACCTCAGCAAAAGGGAATGTAAAGAATGCTTATCAAAAAGTAGCATACATAAATCCCTGATTTACCCAGCTGAAGTAAATATGTAAGGATGGGCAGTGGATATCCCCTTCACTGGTTCTGTCTACCTGAAAGCCCAGAATTCATCTTGATCAATGGAATACTTTTGATGTTTTCTTGACCAGCGATTCCCTCTGCTATTTCCCATCCAAACGTCAAATCCAGCATCAGCTAGTAGGAAGCCCAAGCTGTTGTTGGGCAGGTTTGTGACCCAGTTACTAGCATCTCCCAATAATCCATGCTGGAGAAACACAACAGGTCTTGAAGCTGAAAAATAGAGCAAAACCAAAACAGTTTGTAATTGGTTTTATCTTTTCATTTCCTGGTTGTTCAGAGATATTATTTTCTCATATTCAATACTGGGATTTTTTCCTGAATCAACAAATCATAAGAACAAAACCCCTCTTTCTGTAACTGACAATTTCTAAGATTCTGAAAGAATTTATGGCAAGATCTGCTTAACACCATAGTAAACTAACTTGGCACCCTCTGATCGTTGTCTGTACAGCTCAGACACATCAGCTTGAGATTCTCAACACTGAGAATGAAGGTGTGCAATTATTTTCAGAGGTTTCCTTTACCCAAAATATGAATCAGACACTGATACTAACCAAGTGTAAGCAAAAGCAAAACAAAATTAGAAGCTGGAAAAGCTTTTACAAAACGGGCTGATTAGGCAACCAATTACCCTATTTTTAATTTTTTTTAAGTTTTACTCATCAACTCTTACTAGGAAGCATATGCTTAATATTATGATGGATTTTTTATTACAAATAGGTGTGCTTGACATTAATTCTGTAGGTCTTGCAGGTTGTTCAGGGCAGCCAGAACTCTGCTAAAATTTCACTCGTATACAAGCTTTGGTAGATCTTTTAAAAACACAAGCTATCTCTTTTGGGAATATGCCCTATCTAGGCTGGTGTTGTGTCATATTAAATAACTGTACCTGGGCTTCCTTGATTCTGAATACCATAAGGGATTCTGTTAAGGGTAATGGTGTAACCATCTTCCGTCATCACTTCATACTCCTCGCTGGGGTACCCTTTGTAAGTAATCAGCTCATTCTAGGAGAGAAAGTATAAACACATTTGCTTGCACAAGCCTATTTCATACATTATAAGGTAGTCACAATGAAGAAATGTTAGAAAGCAGGTACAGCTGGAGATTTAACCTACATATATTAAATATCTGAATGCATGTAACCCTGAAGCAACAACAAATTTCCTTTATGTTTTATCTAGGGGTTTACTACCCAGTTAAAATATGTCATATAAAATCTGTATTACACTCCTGCCATACAATCATCACAAGCCCTTGCATTCTGGAGCTGTAAGAATCACTATAAGCTCATAGCAGGACTTGATGAGATGAGATGAGGGGTGTGGCTGAGACAAGGATCTGTCTGGGTGCAGTGCTTCTGATTTGCTTCCATACAACCTGGAACCATCTTATTTAAACTACCTTCAGAGAAATCCAGACAGCTTCACAACTATGGTTTGGTGAACAGCACAGATGCAGTGAGCACTGCTGAAAAGCTGATTACATTATGAAAAAAAAAAGATCAGGCGTTTGTATAGTTGCAAGGGAAATCCCTAGCTCAGCCCATCTTAAGCTCTGAAGTAAATATTACTTTTGACCTGTAACGTTCCTTCTGTTTTGTTACAAAAAAGGATTGGTTTTTATAACTTGTACTCAGAGAATTACTCAATGTATTTTGCCATGCAGGACAGAACCCCCAGGATTTTAAGAAACGATGAAAGACCTAAGCAAGCTTGCTTGGCAAGAGGTGTTTTTCTGAAAGGCTGTCCATTTCTGGTCTCTGCTGGTCACCACTAGTTGTTTATAGACTTCATTGTTGATGAAATGCTGATGGTCCAGATAGTCATTCTTTCAGATAGGCAGGTAGTGCCAGCAATAGCAAGCTGGTAACAGATGTTTAAAAGGAAATTAAGTCTGGAGACTTAATATTTGCTTTAAATTCTATCAGAGAGAAGATGGTCTGTTACACATGCAGGCAGAAGAGAATAGAAGAGAAAGCAGTAGTATATACAATGACTAGAGAGGATATGTTAAATAAAGGCACTTTATCTACCCTGTTACTTCTAACTCTTAGAAACTCCTCTGCAGTAAATCATGCATAACATTCCTCTTCAGGTCACTCCATTAAACAACTTACAATACTCATAAAGGCTTCAGGATCCACAGCTCTCCTCATTCTTCTCAGTTCTTCTGAATAAATAACTCCCTGAAACAAACATGTCACAGCAACAAACAGCCATATCTTCTCCCTGCAAAATCCAATATATTCATCTATCAGTAGTTCTCCTCTGCACTTGCAATCCTGATAGGTTCTGTACTTTTGTGGTGAGGAAAGTGCTGTCTAATAATGAATGGAGCCAGTCTGATACTCCCTACTTGTTAATTAAATGGAATAAAGCTGACTTCAAACACCTATCTGAGGGATTTGGGCAGTACCCTGGACTCTCTGCTAAGGTTTGGACTGGGATGTTGCTCTTGATCAAGGCAAAAATATCAATGAATCCAAGAAAAGGAGCAAAGCTTCTGGACAAATGAATTTCACTAATTTGTCTGAGAAGGAGGTCACTTGCATTACCATACCATGCATTTGATATGTAGGTGAATTTGGAAACATTTCTGGCTAACTGTGAAACACACAGTCGTTGGGTAACTTGTAAGTAAATCAATCATTGTCACAGTGAAGCTTTCAAAGTGGAGATAACCAAGTTGTGGGATAATTAGTGGGAAAAAGTAAAAACAATTGCAAATAAAAAATAAATATTAATTATTTAATCAAAAACTTAAGAACAGAAATAAAGCAGTTCTTTATAGGTGCAAAATTTATACAAATCTGCCTAATGACAAAATTTATCTGCTCCATGGGATGAGGATGGGTAAAGGAAAAGAACACTTTCCTAAATGTAATGCTAGGTAGATACTGAATGCAGGGACATCCAGATTTGTCAAGCAAAAAAGGAACAATAACAACCTGGGGGGTTGCTGTCCTGCTTAGATGCACACACAGCAGCACCACTGTCTGTGAAGACCTGCATACACTTTGCTCAAAGAGCATCTTCTCTACATTATATAATCCCCCAGAGGCCACACCTAAACTTCTCTTGTCCCAGTGACAGATCTTTCAGTCAGACTGATTCAGCCAAAGAAAATCTATTGCATTTATTGTTTTCCTAATTGAGAAGACTTTTAAACTATTTTTCCCCTCAAATAATAGGAATAGCTTTTTTTTTTCTTCTTCTTCTTTCAGAACAAGAATTTATATGCTAAATTCCTGGCACTACATTCTGGTACAATCTGTGTGTTGGAAATACTTAGCTCCTTTTGTAGTAAAAGGGACACTTAGAAACCTTTGTTTTACTGAGCTAGCACTGTTTCTTTTGGTTGAAAGTTACCACTTTCTGATTCTCTCACTTGCCATCTTCCCATGCTCTTCAGCTATCCCAGAGTTACCTAAATTCAGGCTAGGTGAGCCGGCCCTGAATCTCTTTAGTCAGAAGGAATCCTGCAGGAAATAGCCATGCTTTCACCTACATACAAGCAAAACAACACAATGAAATTCATTTGTTCCCAAATAGTGAAGCAACTCCTCAAGCTCAGGTTTCATACCACCTTTTGCAGCTCCCATGAAGCCTTCACCAGTTTTGGATCATAAATAAATCAAAGCATTACTGACCTTGTACCCAAAGTCATGTGTTTGGCTGAGCAACTGCGGCTGCAGAAGAATGAAAACTCAATTCCTGGCTGTTTGGAAGCAGTGCTGGCAGTGAAAGGATGGTCATGCACTGTTTTTTTCCCCAATCATGCAGCAACTTGACAATAAGCCTCTGTTTCTTTCCCACTACTCATTCCTTCTACTATCAGTTCAGCTTTTCCCTAATGCAGCACCCGAGAGGGGTGACTCCTTTTATTCTCAAACCTCATGCTTTTCAGCTCCTTAGCCACCACATCTATAACAAGGCTCTTCTACTATCACAGACTGCTGGATTTTTAAGGAGAATACCAGCCTCTGTAGAGTGGCACAGCAGGATCAGGAATTTTGAAAACAAATATATTCATAGATATACCTTATCATGCTTAATGAAATTGTCAATAGACCTGCAATAATTTTCTCTTTTACTAAAAACCTATCAATTCCAGCTTTTCATATTATCTGGAAAGGAAAGAAGGAACCCTGATATCTCTACAGATGTTACTCCACATATTTTTCTTCTATTTTTTTAATGCTTTTGTTGCTGTTCTATAATTCTATATCGTTGCTGGAGTAGTTTCTGGAGATTTTCCTCCATTTATATTTCACCTCTTAAATGGTCATAGAATTTAATGGATATTCCCTAAATGAATAGCTGTGAAACTAGAAGGTTTTTCCATAATCTGTATGGACTGAGAAAACATTGCTGAGATGGGCAAATGTGTCAGTGGTCTCAAGTGGGCCAGAATTGTTCAGCAGTGCAAATTAGTTAGGCCTGAATAGAGTCCAGACAGGTCTTTTTTAAGGCATTCAGGACAGTGGCCTTTTTTAGTCTCTTCTTTCTCTGGAGGACAAGCCCAGTGCAGCCATGTTCCACCACGAGTGGTGTCCTCACCATAATTCAAGCTTTGCAGAAGTATGAGTGAGGATCTTTTTATTTATTTTTTTTTATTTTTTTTTAAACTTGTGTACTCTGGTATAAAGCTGGTGGGTTTTTCATTCTGCATGTTCCAGGCATTTTTAAATCTTGAACCTAATTATTTCTTGTTCAGTTCCAAATTTTTACTTCTCCAAATATTCTTTTCATCTCAGAAATACTGTTCATCCACATAGAACAGATCAGCTTAAACACTGAAATGAACATTGACCAAGGTTTTGAGCAGGATTTCATATTTCTACTTATACTATAGCTTGCATACTTTCTTCTTTCAGTACTGCCTGTGGTTAGCATCAGAAATATCCAATATATCCTCAGAAGTTATTTTCTTTAATATTTACAGATCAGAAAGAAATGTGAAAGAAAATCTCAGGAGAAGACCTGTTCCTACAAGACTTGTTATCAGGCCTTCAAAGAGAAACTAGAAACATCTGAGTTCAGTTTCTGGCAGCAAATTAGGAGAGGAAATGACTTTCAAAGATATGGTTTAGAACATGGAGTGTTATCAAATATTGATTCTACACACGCATGGGATATTTTTCTGAATCTTCTCATTATTTCCTTTATATACTCCAAGTTCTTTCATCTTTCCTGTACAAAAAGTAGTTTTCTGCCTTTTTAAAGTCTCAATGTTTTTGGAAGCTCGACAAGAATTTTATGAGTGAACTGTTTAAATGTTACTTGCCTTTGAGTATCTCATGCTATTCTAAGTCATTAAGATGTGCTATTAACTCACTGTGAACAAAGCTTGCTTCATTGTTTAGTGCCTTCATTGTTTAGTGCAAAACAATGCTCCAATGGTGAGGGTTGGGCTGATTTTTTTAAAATCCAGACATGCACACTCTTGTAAGTTGTTTGGTTTCAGTGGAAGTTACTCACACTATAGTCAGGTATGGAATTCAGTGGAAATGCTTAAAGGTTGAGACGTTGCTGTCAGAGTTGTGGCTGCATCCTCACAAGTGTGGTCATATGCAAATGAGCTTTGAACAGGTTAGTCTAGGTGCCCTTATATAAATAAGTGCCTTTATAGAAATTGTTCAACATGCTCAGTTTATGAAGCTTCAGCTCTTTCCAGTGCTTTTTATGGATAAAACCCCCATCGATGTACAGAATATAATCCCTAGCATTTTCATGATTTCTGTAAACTCTGCTCTCCCCATTCCCTCCTGCTCCAGGAATTGGACCTGGCTCTGAAAACGACTTAGGAATGGAAGATATTTTTATAAAGCTCAATATAGCAGTTCATCATGGATCAAATATGTCCTTTTGGCTTCTTCATGCAGCTAGTGAACGTTGTTATCAGAAATGTTTGGCTATTTTAAGTATGTTAAGAAGGGACTTTAAGGGGAGGTATGCTTTATTGAGAGACAGACTTGTTTTTCTGGAAGTTGCCATCCAGGAGTCTCCAAGGGAACACATAGCAGCAAAAACAGAAGGATCCCCTTGTGCACTCATGGCTTTAAAAACATTTTGTGTCATAATGGTGTAAACAGTTGCTTCCTGAGTGCGAGAAAAACACTGAGAACTAAGCCCAGGGTCTATTAGCTGCTCAAGTGCCAATCATCCATAGAAGGGGCAGCTTGCACATGAAAAGCTCAGCACCAGCCTGTCTGTTAACTTATCCAAGGGAAGTGCAACGTGCAAAAAGAACAATTATTTCCACCATACTTTCTGGCTGATGCTGAAGCTTGTGAAATGTATGCAAGCCAGGATTTCTTCACCTCTGAAGGTGGATGCAGATGAAGTCTGTGTTGCAATTTATGAGCTTTGCATTGCTCATATTGTTTTGCCTCACAATCTGCAGACAATTATTTTTTATCCTTCTGCTAATTTTGTAGTAATGTATAGAACAGTATCTTTTCACTTCTGTGGTGACAAGATATCAATAATATTGACTATCATTAGAGAAGAAAGGAATTTACACATCTGCCTACATGTGTGGAAAGCTGAAAATTACATATGCTTTATTTGTCTTGTACTTGTTGCTAAATAAAAGTATTGGGAATGTGAATTGAAATCCTCTGGCAGAAGAACTGGGGCCAGTACAAGCACTGTGCAGGCCTTGCACTCAGTGTGCAGCAGTCTCCTGGTGAGCATGGGCCATTCAGCACTGGTAAACACAGATGAAGAGGTCTCTGGTCAGCTTCGTGCTGCCATCAGCTGGACCTCCCCAGCTATTTTTAGGGTCAGAGGGACTGTGGGCAGAGGGCCTTGGGTTTTTCTTAATCCTAAGAGTTAGAGTTTGCTCTGGGAAAGAAGAAGGGTGCTGGGGAGGTTAGAGACAGCATCACAAAACCTCTGTCCTCCATTCTAACTGGGGTTTTTGCATAACTGTAACTGGGTTGAGTGGGGGCTGAGACATCTGAGACATTTGAGCACCCCAGAGTGGGCTGGGACCCCTGTCTCTCTTCCCATGAACACCTTTCTCCTTGCCTTCTTTCTGCTAGAAAATTCTTATCAAATATTAATTCCATTACTAATCATCTCCATCATGGCTTTTTCATTCTTTCCTTCCATTAAAACCAACTTCCCCCTAACTTCTGCTATGGCAGTAGATTAGATAGTCATAGACCTGTCTTTACAAATTGTAAAGCACTTATTTTTTCACTTGTACCTTTATATATAATAGGAATTTCTTCTGAAACAGCAAAGGTTTTGCTGACTCATAGATCTGATATTTTTTCATTAAAAAGTAAAGTCAACAATAAAAACTAATGGTTTGCTCTGGGCATCAACATTAATTTTCTCACATGAAATAATCTACTGTAAACAATAAAAAATTAAATATACATTAATTATAAAATTAACATGGTTACTTTGTACTTAGGGCTTTGAATATTGTTTTGATATTTTATAAGGAAAAAGGAACATGATCAAAGTATTTTAACCTTAGCTATAGAACTGCACTTTAAATAGCAAAGCTGCTTATCAAATATAGTCTGTGTTCTCAATGGAAGCTTTCCCTTATAAAGACAAAATTTGCCTGCTGACCCCAAAGTGATACTTTCCAAAGCAAATGAAGAACCTACATGTTCTATTTTACTTATGTCAACAAAATGTTTCATACTCTTGCTACGTGAAGGAAGTTAACTTCTAAAATTTTAGTGCCAACACATAGTTCCACAACCTTGCACAGAGGATAAATGGAACTTACGGACCTATTTCAAGCTCTGATCCACTGAATGTTGCCCTAGACACTAAAAGTTTTCATTAAACAAAGGAGTATTCTTTCATTAAGACAAACAATATAAGGCAAGGGCATAATTCTTACCATCCCAAAATAAATGCATGTCTTTTTGATGATCAGGATGACCTCTTTGCTCTGGAAGCAATTTGTGAAGGGTCCTCATGCAGGAAGATCCCTTTGCAGAGGGGTCTCGTGGCTGTTTTGCTCCCCTGGAGCAGATAGTAGTGGTCATCTGAAAACTAGTCAGATCCCAAGGTCCGTGTAAGAGGACACTGTGTCCCTCTAGGCTGGTAGGACTGTCAATCTGCAGGGGACAGGCTCCAATATTAGAGGAGAACGGGTCTAAAAAGCTGGTAATTTGTATTTTCCTTTTGAAAACCAACAGGACAGCTAGTCAGGTCTTCACTGTCCAAAAAGATGTGATGATCTTCAGGCTGGTTCTGGTCTGAGCTGGCAGCAGCCCTACAGGGCAGCACAGGGGGGTATCAGCTAAGAGCTGGCTCTGGCAGCATCACTTTTAGGGTCTGTACACCTTGCACTGCATCCTGTCCTTCAGCTGGCCAGGCTGGGCTGACATCTCCCTGCTGCAGCAGTGCCCAGCCAAATCAGTCAGCACTGGTTCCATCCACAGTCTTGCTCAGGTCATCCTGACATCTTGAAATAAACGTCCGCTGTCCATGTCTAACAAGTGGGACATTGAGCCTCTCATCGCTGTTATTTGATCTTCTCAAGTAATTCTGATCTCCAGGGCTTTTATTTCCTCCCTGTGCTTCAGCTGGCACCACCAATTCGGAGGATTTTGTACACAAACTGCCCCTGCTACTTGTCTGAACAGTTTCTAAACTGCAATCTTGTTAATCAGAATGAATATTCAAATAAGTATATGAAAATTGTGGCTGAAATCCTTCCCTTTTTGCCCTAAGGGATGTCAGATTGTTTTTTTCAAATAAATCATAAATCATGCCCAAATTACAAATTGTGCTGAAAGAGATTTTAGAGAATGGATTACTGGAGATAAAAATGTCACCTTTTTTTGCCTTGAGAAGAAGAAAATATTTGAAAGAAACATTTAAAGAAAATTTTAGCAGATAAATTCTTGCAG